AAAATGACTGCATTGGACCTTTAAAGCATAATTGAGAAATAATTAATTGAAGTTGGAATATTTGTGACATTTTGGCATTACCCAGGCCTCCTTTAAGACTCCATAATGTTTCATCTGTTGCTGCTACAAAGCTAAAATTGGTGTAATAAACCAAGTTTCCTTGCAACCATTTCCTGTGGATGAATTACCTGACACATGAAAAAATCAAGACTGGGTTGATGGAAATGCTGGTACAATTGTATAAATCTTGCCAAGACAATTTGTTCATTAGACAGGGTGGGATATTTTTGTGTCGGTAAAACGTATTATGCGAGAAATGGCGGTGGAAACGCTTTTATGCGCAAGTATTGATATAATAACTACCATATTGAAGTCAACTTGGAGTCACTCGATGATATGTTTTGTGGTCCTCCCTCCCACTACGACTCGGGAAAGCATGCAGTTTATTAGGCTACAGATTAAATCATTTATGATGAACTTCACAGGGTGGTGAAAATGCACGATTATGAGCTTGATGCTCCTTTCCAATACATATCGAGGGTCTTATTCTGGTGACATGATGATCGATGCATGGCTGCAGTTTGACAAATAAAAATAATTATCCATAATGTAGGTATCCTAACCACACTGTATCTGCGAGCTGTTGGCTAGAGCACACGGTTTTTTTGACAAAACCATCCGTAGAGTTGAAAAAGCGATGGAAACCCATTCAACTTGTATTTTTTTTTATTCGGTATATGGGAATTTAACCACCAAAGTTATTTTTATGGGCACTAGAGTCAGCACGCATAGCCTTTTATTTGCAATAAGTCAGTTTGATGGAAACATCTCTGGTGGGAAAATGTGCATATTGTTATATGCAGATTTTAGAATATTTGCAAGAAACTCTTTCGCCAATTGGATGTAAACCTAGCTACATAAAGCTTTACCGCTTGCTCTGTAATATGAGTAGTATTTCGATTTCTATAACAATTTTTTCACAAAATGTATGAATATTGAAAATATACCATTTTTGATTTGGCTAAATTCGTATATATATTGTTGAACATAACATGCTCTCTGGGCATATCAAAGTTCCAGAGTAGGATCTCTGCTACTTTTAGAGTTATGATCCAATTTGTAAGCATTACCAATAGAATGAATGTGAAAATGGATTCAAAATGGTCGCCTCTGTTGGTGTAGGATGTGCAAGGACGCAAGAAAAAGGAGTGCTGTGATTGGTTACATTGTCTACTATGCCAATTTCTCAGTATAAAAATGGGCCTTAACTATAAAACTAGCAGATATCCCACTCTGGAACTTTGATATGCCCGTGGAGTATATATTGTTCAATAATTTAGTGAAAAATTTGCAAATATATATTTGTCAATATTGATGTTTAATTTAAATCCAAATACTACCTATATTACAGAGCAAGCAGTAAAGCTTCAAATAACAAATCCATTTAGTCTTTGTTGCACCTACACATTATGGATTCTTAAAGGTTGAGTAAGTTAGAATTCTGTCCACAAATATACCCACATTTGTATTATATGTAAATAGTTTATGATTAGTTAATGCCATAATGTAGCAACCTCCATGCACTTTTCTGAGCAGGTCCCTCTGTGGCTAAAGCCAGTGTGAAAAAAGCGTGCTAATAAACGTATGTGCTATGAAACGAGATAAATACTGCTTTTTGACCCACAAAACAGTCGCTAGATTCATGAGTGTTGTTAGACAAAGCAAGGAAAGTGAACTCCAAAACGTGATGTCATTTTATTGGAATTTTCAGCTGTTGTTGGTAAGTAATGAATCTGCTAGCTTCTGATATGACTTACTGCAACTATAAATGAGACCTGGGTAAGGCCAAAATGTCAAATGTTCTAACTTCAATTAATGATTAGTCAATTATGGTATAAGATACAAATGGGACCCTTCTATGGTTTACATTTAGTTAAAATCCAATAAATCAGGGTCTCGTTTTGTTCTAGTTTCGTGAGGAATCACGGCAAAGCTATTTGACCAGTCCAAATACAAAATCTTTAGAAAACTCAGTAAACCATAAAAACAAAGTTTTGCTTTCTGTTAAAAGTTTTAATGTAATTCTGAAATACATTTGATATGACAATTTTACATACTTCTTTTCATAACAAGTTTTTTTTTTTTGTTTGTCTCTTTTTTTGTAGCCATTTTATACTAAAGCTCAAAGCAAAAAATAACATGATGATTGTTTAACCTGGCAAGACAGTAGGCTCAACAATACATTTCAGGGGAAGGGACTGGGGCAGTGGTGGGCAACCCCGTTCATGGAGACCTGTGCAGGCTTTTGTTTCACCAGTGTTCAGGGCTTATTCAATTTTTCTATTCCTTCTTCAATTTTATTGTAAATCATTATGAGCAAATAACCAAAAGTCTCCAATGCCTGCACTCACTGCAGCTCTCCAGGTTTGGAGTTGCCCATCCCTGGTTCCACACATACTGGGTGATCAATATCAAAATGACAGGTAACGACGTGGGAATCGTTGAAAAGAGACATGTAGCTATTCTAGTGTTCCTCAACGACAAGCATCTTTCTCCCGATAGGTATGGTCCATCTTTACATGTCTCTATTGCAGTTGCGGACCATTTGAAAGAGAGAGGATAGCTGGATAGAAAGCCTTTCCCATAAGTGGGCCTGTTTGTTGAAACTATACTGCTTTTTCTGTTCATTTCAAATACTATTATGCAACACTCCTGAACCCTTGCACATCTCTGGCGCACCTACTCTATGACCACATCTCCGTTGTATTGGACCAATCACAATAAACAGCAATGCCACTACTGTAAACTATGAGCTAATGTATTGAAATTAACGGCATGTTTAGAGGCCAATGCAGAAGACATTATTATGAAAACATATTCCAGTCACAGATACAGTATGGGACAGGTGCTCTTGTACAATAGTGGCAAGGGCTCGACATGTCAACTAAGTTTCTTCACCACTTGACTTCCATTCAAAGATGTACTGTTTTGATATCATTCTAACAGAATATCAACATTGACTTGTATAGTTTTAGGAACGGCAACAAAATAGCACCAGGTTATGGAACAACTACAGCTAACTCAAAATAGAAAACAGGTAGATGTTTTAAAGGAACCTATAGCAGACGACAGACAATACAACAACAAAAATATAACATTAACGAAAGTGTTTCTCTTACAGTCACTCCCCAGCAAATAACCATCAACGACCCCAATGTAAACAACATTCAACACTTCATCATTGACCACCTTTCGCCATTTTATCCATGGACAGCCCAAGTTAATTTTCATTTACGAACTTTTAAAAATTCATATTGATGGGAGAAATATAACAGAGAAGGAAAAGTGCTGAAGAACGGCTCTTGATACAGACCCAAGACGCCATACATTCATGTCTGAGCCCCATGTCCGGAGGAATAGTCCTATGTTTGTCGCTACATAAGCAGAATGTGAAGAATGGAGAGAACACAAACGTACAGAGCACACTACACGTTGAGGTTTCTACAGACAGGTGAAGAATAGTGTAAAATAAGGAGCGTCATCTTGTTTTTTTGACGTAAAGGCTGCTCAATAATATACATTACGGGATTTATACATTTTAACCAAAAACATTTCTACTTGCCTGCTTTTTTTTCTCCAATGTTTTCTTAGTGTGCTTTTTTGTTTTAAAAATACATATTTACACATCAAAGCATTGTAGTACATGAAAAAGTATCACACTATAATACAACAGCTTAGAGATATTACTAATTCCACTGATGAGGAAGAAAAAGGTTTAAAACAAGAGGAGCTACACTTCACTGAAGGAAATATAACTGTAGTCATCTACTTCTCGTAAGGGATCCGTTTTAAATACACCAAACCAGAGCCATCGATTAACAGCGGAATAAAGATGGCTCAGCACCAGACTATTGATGAGAAACTATGTACTTGTAGTCTTCCTATCCTGTGTGGGTAGAACCACCTGTTCCAATGCCTATAGCTCTTTGAATAAAATGGCAGCATTAGCTGTTCTGAGAGCGCATTTTGTAGGGTTTTGGGGTCAAACCCATTTAGGATATATGTAAATAACGATAAAAAAAAACAAATGCCAAAACTCAAACCTAGAAGTTAATATATTGGTCTTTCTGATGGTATGAAAAAATATAGGGAAAACATGTTTGCAATGATCGTGGTTGTTTCAAACAATGTCTGTGTAACTTATTTAGAGCAAACTAAGTCAAAAAAATGCTTACTCCTCAAATAAAATTGGTTTATTCAATATATATTTGGGAAGTTGATATCTTTTCATATCCATCTAAAAATGTTTATCTTTTTGAAACAAACAAATCTAACAACTATATTTAGGGAAAACTTTGGGGTCATGGAGCAAACCGGTTGTAAAACTAGCTTATCTGCAAAATGGGTTCATTTTCGGGTAAACTTCAAAATCAAAGTCGATATATCAACTATCAATAAAAACGTATGTACCAATAATAATCATAATCATAATAATGAACACAAGTCAACTCCATTATTAAATGGAATTCTTTATTAAATCATGTATGGCTACGAACGTCAAAGCAGGTGTTTGCACAAGGGCTTCTATTTCAAATGATTTGTGGTCAAAAATAAAATATAATGTTGACTACATACTAAAAACTAACAGTGGCCACAGGAGGTAACAATGGACTAATAATACAAATAAAACTTGAAGTAAGAGTTCATACACTCTTCAATGACAGACAACTCAGTGAAATAAAAAAAGATTTTATAAACTATTATTTGCTAGGCAACTAGATCTTTACCTCTATGAACAAAATACAAGCCCCACTGGATTTGAAGTGCCTGAGGTCTGTTCTCTTACAAGGTGGATAAAGAGGTCCCACTTTTAACGGCAAACTCTTTAGAATGTACTTACATCGGCGAGAGAAGAAAACTGCTTTCTCATTCCCTCTTGCACCGTCTCACTCATCAATATGATGAGCAACAATTCACAAACTCCAAAAAATATATTTTTTTCAGTTCTATAGGTAAAAAAAAGAAGAAAGAAAAAAAGAGCATCCATCCCAGATATACTGTGAATGCAGAGAGACTGAACTGCACAGAGTTAAGTTAGTAACACCTGCATAGGATCCTTCCTGGAGCTCCACTGTGACCTCGGACCCTTGGGGAAATGCTGGACTGAGGTGTCCGTGGAGGTGCCTGAAGGGGTCCTGACTGCAGCGTGTGGGCACATTGTGGGGGGCAGGCGCTATGAGGACCCACTCCCACTCCCGCTGGCCTGGACCTCTGGACCCTCTGGGGAGAGGAGAGACAGGTCTGGTGAGTGATAGGCTAGGGGCAGTCCAATGACAGTGTTTTAAATTACATTCTTTGACTTTTTGAATGGGCCAGATGTTGTAGCTTGAATCAAATAAGACAAAATCCAAGACAATTGACAACATCCAAGGAAGAAGTACAAGGGTAAAAAGTCCCATTCAAAGATCCCCAGATAACTTCCTTGGACCCCCAGATAACCTCTTTGGAACATCAGCGGGGGTGTCCAAGATCACTTACTTGGACTTTCAAATATGTTAGTTCGATCGTTAGGGGGCATGTCCAGATGACCTTTTTGAACCCCCAGATAACTTTTATGGACCATCGATAGGGGTCTCCCAGATCACTTCCTTGGAACACCAAATAACACTTTTGGACTATCACTTTGTCCAGATATCATCGTCTCACTTTTTTTGAACAATCACAGTAAGAGGACTTCAGATTAATTTGGGGTGATTGGATCAGTTTGGGTAACAGTTAGGCTAAAAGGGTTCTATAGTTTACCTGTGGTGTTGGCAGTGGGTGTGAGCGGTTCGTCCTCATCACTATCCTCCTCGTTAGACTGGGGGTGAGGGATGTGGCCGTCTGGAATGGGGACCCGGGGCTCTGGCTCCTGGTCTGAGCGGCTCCGCAGTGCCAGGATACGGTGATGCAGCGCTGCGTACAGCTGACCTGTGTCCTTAGAGCTCGCCTGGAACAGACACATAACTAACTCGTCAGTACTATACAGGAGGTCCTGGCAGTGTTAGATATACTAATCTATTACCATGTAATTATAGTGTAATTACTAGGGGAAATATTTAACTATTAGAATATGATTTTTTTTCGCAGATACCCGGATAGTTGAAATTCAAAGAAAATTCATGCTTTTGAATCTCGACCAATCTGAATGACGCAAATGCACATGGCAGTGGTAAACAGCGGACATTTGCTTTTCTCCGATAGTTTGGCTAGCAGCAACAGAGAAGTCAGATTTTCACCATGATATAACTTATTCTGTTATAAAAAGGTTATCTGGTGAGTGTTTTGCATTGATCTGTGTCAGGTATTGTGGAAACTCCATTAGGTGAGTGCCTGTAATTGCTATCTGAAGTGGGGAAAATAGAATACCGATGTCAGGGCAGCCTGGAGGGATAAATGCGCAGCAGTAGCTCAAAGTACAGTTCAAAAAACAACATTCAAAAGTTTGTTGTTTTATTAAATGAAGAATTTCAGATGTCATGGTATATCCTTGTAGATAAAAATGTCACATGGATAATTTTATTTAGACAAAGTTTTTTCAGTGTTAAAATAGGCCTACCATTTTTTTCTCCTAAGATGAACACTCACTCAAGTAATCACAAACTAACGTTGGTTCGCATATCAGGATATTGTCACGACTTCCGCCGAGGCTGCCTCCCCTCCTTGTTCGGGCAGGCTTCGGCGTTCGTCGTCACCGGCCTTCTAGCCACTGCCGCTCCATATATCATCATTCCATGGAGCTACTCTCCCTTTGTATTGCTGGGGTAGATATTTCCCCTGTGCCTGTATATTGTTGGAGTATCCCGTATCGTGTATTGCCAGGGTAGATAGTTTCCCCCTGTGCCTGTTTTCGTGTGTCGCTATCCAGCGCATTTGTGTACGACGGAATAAACTCTGTATTCGGTGATTTACCCTCCTGCGCTTGACTCCTTCTAGCACACTCATCACAGATATTCCAATAACCGTGCCCATCCCTAGTAATTACTATGTAATAAGTAATGTCGTCTTACTCGTACCGATATGAGGAAGACCTTGACCCCCTGGTCCTCAGTGTCCATGGCTGTGATCCGGACGCTCTTCTCGCTGGCCTTATCCGTCTGCATTTGGGGCCACAGCTTGGTGTTGAGGATCAGACGCAAACTGCCCTGGGTCCTCATCACTACAGGGCCAGAACAGCACAAACTCAGGTTATATACAATGCATATAATAAGCAATATAATACATTCAAATGGGAGTTGCGTTTTGACAGATGTACAAAAACAACTCCATAGTATCATACGATGCAATCCAGGGTAGTGCGGCATGACAGTAAGGTGTATTTGGATTTTTAAATGCACTAAATGGTTGATTCGATTTGATTCAACAGTGTTATGCCACTGTAATGACTGTACCTAGCCTGGACTGTAACGATCCCTCCTCTGTGGAGGCCATATCATTAAGCCTCAGTAGTCCTCTGCCTCTCTCCACCCAAGACTGGGATGCTTTGTCAAACACAAACAACTTGCATTGGACCTGAGACAAAAAACATGCCATTGTCAGATGAATGACCATGGACGATTTCAGCCTATTTCCAACCCTGTCTGAGGAGAAATGTAAACACAAAACTACAATGGGTAACTTTAAATCAACAATTGCTAAATGTCCTGGTGAAGTAAATTGAACGTTACTGTAAATATACTGGCATTGAACAACAAACAACCAGAGCTTTTGCATACCTGTAGAACATTACTCTCCGACTCCTCTCCAGTTCTGACCTCTACCTTCTCTAACAAACACCTCTTGGCTGTGGCTTTGGTGTAGGCTGCTGCCGACTCCTCCAAAGACTCTGTCACATTGGTATCTGCAAAGAAGAGAACCACAAACCCATTTGAAAATGAACAGCAAACAAGAAGGACACTTTGGACATCTGAAAATAAGCCAGTGTCTCCTTTCTTGGATTGCCATTATTATATGGGCTTAGTAACATAAATTCCATATTTTTTCATATGCAGTATGTTCTTTTCTCTGCCCACCTTTGTCGGGGCTGCTGTCCTGTGAGGGTGGCTCACATGGCGGGGCGGCAGGGGGATCTCTGCTGCCCTCTGCTGCCTGCTCACATTTCGGCGGACTCTGCAGAACAAGAATGTAATACAACATGCTTTAACACAACTTTGTGGATCCCATCTTTAGTTGGCAGGGGGACAAATGATAGAAAAACCACAGACATAACAGATGAGTAGATTAGCCTCACAAAACAACACGTCTCACCAGGACACGATCCAACATGTTCTGTCCAAACACAAACTTAGCCCCGTCGTCGGTGTTGTTCTCAGCCTTCTGTAAGCTGGGTGGGAAACATACAGAGGAAAGGATGTTATAATAATAATAATAATAAGATTATAAAATTATGATAAAATAGTAGTCTAATAAAACTGATGACTGATAATATCCATTAGAGCCAGAATCCATGAGAGACTAACCTGGGAGTGCTTCTATACTGTAGGAAATAATTGGTTTCCCCTGATTCTGCTGACAGAGAGCCTTTCTTGTCACTGCTTTCCTCAACCTAGACCAATGGGGAAAAAGGTCATGATCAGACAAATAATAACAAAAGAACATACAAACTCACGTAATAGAGCATGCAAGGCCACAAGAGGCTGCTATATTTCAGCAATAACGCCCGAGGAGGTGTGGTATACAGCCAATATACCACGGCTAAGGGATGTTCTTACGCACAACGCAATGCGGAGTGCCAGGATACAGCCCTTAGCCGTGGTATATTGGCCATATACCACAAACTTCCCGAGGTGCCTTATTGCTATTATAAACTGGTTACCAACGTAATTAGAGCAGTAAAAATACATGTTGTCATACCCACGGTATACGGTCTGATATACCACGGCTGTCAGCCAATCAGCATTCAGGGCTTGAACCAGGGCTGTTGCGGTGACCGTATTACCGCCACACCGGCGGTCACGAGTCATGAAGGCAGTCAAATTCCACATGAACGTTTAGTCACGGTAATTAGGCTTCTCCAAGCTCTGATGCTGCCAATGGTTATTAGTAGCCTACCAAACTTGCTAACTGCCTGGGACTCAGCACTCTATTGTCCCTCTAATCACTCTGACATCAATGCAAATCTAATCGGAAATCTAATCAAACACTTCATGAGAGCCCATGAGCTCATGTTGCGCAACATTTCTATAGGCTATGCAATTGCTGGAGAAAACAGAGTAATGGCCGCTAATAAAAAGAGGAGGATCCCATCAGCTTTCTATAGGCTAGGCCTAATATATTTATTTCTCAACTTTCCTAATATTAAGCACATTGCTTATATTTACAACAGGAGTATAGCCTACCTGGCTGGCATGAAAATAAACCAAGGGGAAAAGTGTCCTCCATTCGATATTTAAGTGCATAGATGACATGTATTTTTTCCCACTGCCCCTGTTTCCATACAGGTGCATGATAATGATCCATTCTAAATCAAAACAAATGTCACACATATATTATTTTGTATATGTAAAGATGAAATTAATTCAAGAATAGTCTGATGGGTGACAATATTAGCCTATCACTTGTGAATTATATATTATCACTTGTGAATGATGCCCAGCATAAGAAACAATGGCTTTTTTGTGTTGACTTGTTCGAATCATAGTCACACACCTCATGTAGCCTAGCCCATAGGCCTATACGTTTTAATAAGGTTTGTATCACAACTAAAGTGGTCAAATAACTTCTTAAAATTAAGAACATTAATCTGCTTTACAAGGGGTGTAGAGCCTAACTGGCATATACAGTGGGGAGAACAAGTATTTGATACACTGCCGATTTTGCAGGTTTTCCTACTTACAAACCATGTAGAGGTCTGTAATTTTTATCATAGGTACACTTCAACTGTGAGAGACGGAATCTAAAACAAAAATCCAGAAATTCACATTGTATGATTAAGTAATTAATTTGCATTTTATTGCATGACATAAGTATTTGATACATCAGAAAAGCAGAACTTAATATTTGGTACAGAAACCTTTGTTTGCAATTACAGAGATCATACGTTTCCTGTAGGTCTTGACCAGGTTTGCACACACTGCAGCAGGGATTTTGGCCCACTCCTCCATACAGACCTTCTCCAGATCCTTCAGGTTTCGGGGCTGTCGCTGGGCAATACGAACTTTCAGCTCCCTCCAAAGACTTTCTATTAGGTTCAGGTCTGGAGACCGGCTAGGCCACTCCAGGACCTTGAGATGCTTCTTACGGAGCCACTCCTTAGTTGCCCTGGCTGTGTGTTTCGGGTCGTTGTCATGCTGGAAGACCCAGCCACGACCCATCTTCAATGCTCTTACTGAGGGAAGGAGGTTGTTGGCCAAGATCTCGCGATACATGGCCCCATCCATCCTCCCCTCAATACGGTGCAGTCGTCCTGTCCCCTTTGCAGAAAAGCATCCCCAAAGAATGATGTTTCCACCTCCATGCTTCACGGTTGGGATGGTGTTCTTGGGGTTGTACTCATCCTTCTTCTTCCTCCAAACACGGCGAGTGGAGTTTAGACCAAAAAGCTCTATTTTTGTCTCATCAGACCACATTACCTTCTCCCATTCCTCCTCTGGATCATCCAGATGGTCATTGGCAAACTTCAGATGGGCCTGGACATGCGCTGGCTTGAGCAGGGGGACCTTGCGTGCGCTGCAGGATTTTAATCCATGACGGCGTATTGTGTTACTAATGGTTTTCTTTGAGACTGTGGTCCCAGCTCTCTTCAGGTCATTGACCAGGTCCTGCCGTGTAGTTCTGGGCTGATCCCTCACCTTCCTCATGATCATTGATGCCCCACGAGATGAGATCTTGCATGGAGCCCCAGACCGAGGGTGATTGACCGTCATCTTGAACTTCTTCCATTTTCTAATAATTGCGCCAACAGTTGTTGCCTTCTCACCAAGCTGCTTGCCTATTGTCCTGTAGCCCATCCCAGCCTTGTGCAGGTCTACTGTTTTATCCCTGATGTCCTTACACAGCTCTCTGGTCTTGGCCATTGTGGAGAGGTTGGAGTCTGTTTGATTGAGTGTGTGGACAGGTGTCTTTTATACAGGTAACAAGTTCAAACAGGTGCAGTTAATACAGGTAATGAATGGAGAACAGGAGGGCTTCTTAAAGAAAAACTAACAGGTCTGTGAGAGCCGGAATTCTTACTGGTTGGTAGGTGATCAAATACTTATGTCATACAATAAAATGCAAATTAATTACTTAAAAATCATACAATGTGATTTTCTGGAATTTTGTTTTAGATTCCGTCTCTCACAGTTGAAGTGTACCTATGATAACAATTACAGACCTCTACATGCTTTGTAAGTAGGAAAACCTGCAAAATCAGCAGTGTATCAAATACTTGTTCTCCCCACTGTATAAGCAGCGCATGAGTTACAAGTTTGGGGAAGATAATTTTCACCGTAGAAATGCACCTTTATAATAAAAGCATTACATGCGTAATTTAATTTGCGGTGACTTTTGATAATGGTGTTTTCCGCTAATGGAACATTCGCGCTTATAGCCTACTACCATGTGCGCATTGCTGCGCTTATAATGTGAAGAAAAAGCCTAATATTTTATCAACATTTTAAGCTAAACGTTATGATTTGTTGCGTCTGCCACATTGCATTAAAAATGTTTTTTGATGCTAGTGGTTGTATTAATTTGGGATCTATCGCATCCCACAACTGTCCCAGACTATGTTTGGAATATTAATTTCTCGCACAGAATAGGTCGACTTTTGTACTATGCGGGATAGTAGATTGACATAGGCTAGTGCTTTTGCTGTTCGTTAGGTCTACTCATCTTGTTGGCTAATGAAAAGTAAATGTGGACAGTTCTTCCAATATCTTCAATCTGCACCTCGGAATTGGATAAGGATGCGCGCAGTTGCGTCCCCGATGTGTCTGTCTTAACTTGTAGCCTGTGAGAAAGACCCGATCACGTGACTTAGAGCCATGTGAGTGAGAGACGCATCGGATTGCGCAGCACACTCAGGGAGAAGGGCACAACGCAGCATTCCGGGCCACAAAGGGGATGCCGCCGTGAAATGATCAAGTGCTTGTCAAATTGTGAATGAGAGACAATTGGAGTGTGTACAGGCTGCGCAAAAAACAAAGCAGAGCCCATGCCTTTCAAGCAACTTTTTTCAAATCATCATTAGAGTCTTCTCATGCAGCCTTACAATGTATTAAAAATCAAAACATATAGCCCAACGTTTGTAGAACAACTAAAGTTCCATGAATAACTCTAAATTAAGCATATAGAAGTACCTATTTATTTGTTAACCACTCAACACAGAATAGCCGCATGTGCGCACTGTTCAATTGTATTCTTCATACTATAAAATAATATAAAATAATGCCACGGTGTAGCCCACAGCCATTTGGCAAAGCCACATCAGGACTTAACATAAGGACATGCTAAGTATGTTATTCTTTTCTTCTGAAATAGACTACATTTTCTTCATATCATGCTTCTTTAGACCGTTCTAAAATAAATAATGGATTTATTGTGAAGGTGTAGGCTATATTACATGGATTTATTAGACTTTTTAAAATGGCTTGTAGGGTGTGTGTGGAAGCCAGGAAATGCTAAATGTGTTTATGTTAATTAACGGTCAATTACCGTGAGACCGACAGTTATTTGCTTGACAATCACCGGCTGACAAAATGTTGTGACCGCCACAGCCCTAGCTTGAACCACTCAGTTTATAATTTGATTTACCCACACACCTCAATGGGGTGTTGTTAGGTATGAGGCAAAGCCCAGAGCATCTTTGAAACGTATTCTATATGACATGTACTTTAGTTAACTATTCAAATCACCATGGCTCTGTCTTTGACATTCTGACCAAATACAAATGTGGATTCCACAGGAGGATCGGGTTCTCTCCTTTCCTGCTCTCACCCCTCCTGCTCTCACCCCTCGTGCTCTCATCCCTCCTGCTCTCACCCCTCCTGCTCTCACCCCTCCTGCTCTCACCCCTCCTGCTCTCACCCCTCCTGCTCTCACCCCTCCTGCTCTCACTCCTCCTGCTCTCACTCCTCCTGCTCTCACTCCTCCTGCTCTCATCCCTTTTCTTCTCCTTGAAAGATGAGAGCAGCGAGACACATTCATGGAAATTCCATACTGAATGTCCAAGCATAAAACCTTCCTTGTGTCCTGTTGTGTTCTGTGTTGTCGTTAGGAGCTTGATAACTATATAGGTTATTATATGCCACTGTAGAGCCCTTCCAATCGGTGAACATGTAGCTAGCGTGGCGCCCTTTGACCTCTCAGCTTACCTGTGACTTAGCCATATTGTCTGTGGAGCCATCACAGTTCTCTGTGTTGTTCTGGGTGACTGGCAGACCCTCTGACGACCTGTTCACTCCATTTGTACCACTGTTCAAACCTATGAGGACCACAAGAGGAGACTCAGGGAAATTCAAGAAACAGATGTTTTGTCCAAGCACATTGAGATAAAAGAAAGCTGGAACAGAATGGCCATTGCAGAACATAATGAAGTAGTATAGCTGTTTGTCTGAGAGGATCTGAAGACTTTGAGGTTAAGTTTTCCTAAGTGTACTTACCGGTCTGGGTTAGTGATTTGGTGGCCGGAGGGGCCTGCAGTACTGCTGGTCGTAGTACACTACGCTGCTGCTCCTTGGGCTTCTGGCTCGGGACGCCTGCAACACATTATACTTACTAAATATAAGGCTCTGGACAGACCAACGCCAGACAAACAAGGGCCATCTTTTTCTCAACTTATTGTGATGTTTTACATTTACATTTTAGTCATTTAGCAGACGCTCTTATCCAGAGCGACTTACAGTTAGTGAGCGCATACATTCTTTTTTAATTTTTCATACTGGCCACCCGTGGGATTCGAACCCACAACCCTGGCGTTGCAAACGCCATGCTCTACCAACTGAGCTACATCCCTGCCGGCCATTCCCTCCCCTACCCAGGATGACGCTGGGCCAATTGTGCGCCGCCCCATGGGTCTCCCGGTCACGGCCGGCAACGACAGAGCCTGGATTCGAGCCAGGATCTCTAGTGGCACAGCTAGCACTGCGATGCAGTGCCTTAGACCACTGCGCCACTCGAGAGGTTGTACATTGTTTTTGTGACTGAGCCTGTGTGCTGGAACCCCAAAACCACATTTAAGATTTTCACTCAATGGACAATAAAGCCTCTCTGAAATTGGCAGGAGAGAGCACCCACCTGCACTAGGCGCCTGTCCATGGATCAGAGTGGGAGGCTTCAGGCGAAACCCAACCGTCTTCTCCTCTGTTGACAACAGAACAGAGAAAGATGGAGAAAGAGAGAGGGAATATGAGATTTAAGTTAGGCCAGAACTTTGATTGAGAAAAAGCTAAACATTCTTGTCATGATTCTTCAAGGGTAGTTCTCCTTATCATGCAAATTTCAGGTAGATTGAAAAGGAGATCTTAAGACAACTATTCATGAACTCACCAGGTTCTGAATCTGAATTATTTCCTGTCGGGGACTGACAGAAACTGGATGGCATGAACACATTGTTCTTAGAAACTGCATGAGACAATAAGAAATAACATGAGTACAGACCCTTTCTCCACACACTAACAAAATAATATTTTAATTCAACAAAACGTACAAATTACCTGAATGTGCGGGTGGGAACTGTGTTAGTGACGATGTTCTTTCTCTCTTGGCCGGGGGACAGTAACTACTGCCATCTTTATCAGAGTCTGGAGGAGACAGAATCAGCAAAGATTAGCAAAGTAACTAAAATACAGTAATATAAGATAGACGTGTCACATTTTCCAAAGCACTATAACCTGCTTGGTTATCCTCCTCATCCTTACCTTCTCCATCCTCAGCACTGGACCCTTCTGCTGATCTCTGTTAAGGGTATGACAGAAAACGAGAGAAATAGAGGAGGAAACAGATAGTCAGACACAGAAAACTGAGTGAATTATCCAGTCAGTGTGAAGCCAAGTCTGATTCATAGTCTGATTCACTGTTTCAATTCTTTCAGCAGAGGTGTGAAATGAGTGTCTCACCTTCTGTGCTTTATCTTCCTGGAACACAAACACTGGTGGGGCTATGGCAGGCTTCTCTGCAAGATAAATCATATGTGTCACTGTTGGAGATATAATTTCACAAATCTTTGGGCAAAAGCTTAAAGGGAAAATCCACTCAAAAAATATATTTTGGTATTTTGTTCATTAGTCCACTGTTGTAAAAGTCCCAAAATGTTTTGCATGTCAGCAGTCAATTTTTCAAGATATTGGAATTTCAAGAAGCAAAGTGTCACCGGCCACATCATCAAGATGATGCAAAAAGCATCATTTGAGTGGATTTTCCCTTTAATCTCCTAGAGTCGATGTCCGCACCCCTGTGGAAACCTAATTAACATAATTAAAAACTCCCCACAAAAATCTGGCAGTTTAAGCTAGAAATAGTTTGCTTTGGATGCGTCTTAATCCACCGAAAATCGGTCTTCTCACAAAATCGTCTGTAGCGTCCGAAAGATTTGGCCTACATACTATTATGACCCCTCTATGGAAAGATGAGACTCTCATGAACATGATGGTGTTCTCAGTTTTGCTCTACCCCCACAAGCATCTTGGGACTCGTCTGAAGTTGGTACAGCCAATCTGCCAACTTCTGTCTATAGCGTCCGAACAGTTTGGGCTACACAATAATTCCCCTCTGTGGATAGGTGAGACTCTCACGAGCACGTACATGTCAGTTGTTTTTCTCTATGACGCCCATAGGCCTCACAAGACTCGAATGAAGGTCCCCCGGTACCAGTTGAAAAAAATGAATAGAAGTACAGTGCATTCGGAAAGTATTCAGACCCCTTCCTTTTTGCACATTTTGTTCCGTTACAGCCTTGTTCTAAAATGGATTAAATAGTTTTTTGTCTCCTCATCAATCTACACACAATACCCCATAATGACAAAGCAAAAACAGGTTTTAATAATAATATGCCATTTAGCAGACGCTTTTATCCAAAGCGACTTTTACAGTCAGGTTATACATTTTTGCAAATGTATTACAAATAAAAAACTGAAATATCACATTTACATTAGTATTCAGACCCTTTACTCAGTACTTTGTTGAAGCACCTTTGGCAGCGATTACAGCCTTGAGTCTTCTTGGGTATGATGCTACAAGCTTGGCACACCTGTTTTTGGGGAGTTTCTCCCATTCTTCTCTGCAGATCCTCTCAAACTGTCAGGTTGGATGGGGAGCACAGCTATTTTCAGGTCTCTCCAGAGATTTTCGTTTAGGTTCAAGTCTGTGCTCTGGCTGGGCCACTCACGGACATTCAGAGACTTGTCCCGAAGCCACTCCTGTGTTGTCTTGGCTGTGTGCTTAGGGTCGTTGTCCTGTTGGAAGGTGAACCTTCGCACCAGTCTGAGGACATGAGCATTCTGGAGCAGGTTTTCATCAACGATCTCTCTGTACTTTGCTCCATTCATCTTTGCGTCGATCCTGTCTAGTCTCCCAGTCCCTGCCACTGAAAAACAACCCCACAGCATGATGCTGCCACCACCATGCTTAACCGTAAAGATGGTGCCAAGTTTTCTCCAAATGTGACGCTTGTCATTCAGGCCAAAGAGTTCAATCTTGGTTTCATCAGACCAGAGAATATTGTTTCTCATGGTCTGAGAGTCCTTTAGGTGCCTTTTGGCAAACTCCAAGCGGGCTGTCATGTGTCTTTTACTGAGGAGTGGCTTCCATCTGGCCACTCTACCATAAAGGCCTGATTGGTGGAGTGCTGCAGAGATGGTTGTCCTCCAGGAAGGTTCTCCCATCTCCACAGAGGACCTCTGGAGCTCTGTCAAAGTGACCATCAGGTTCTTGGTCACCTCCCTGACCAAGGCCCTTCTTCCCCAATTGCTCAGTTTGGCCTGGCAGCCAGCTCTAGGAGAAGTCTTGGTGGTTCCAAACTTCCATTTAAGAATGATGGAGGCCACTGTGTTCTTGGGGACCTTCAATGCTGCAGAAATGTTTTGGTACCCTTTCCCAGATCTGTGCCTCGACACAATCCTGTCTCGGAGCTCTACGGACAATTCCTTCGACCTCATGGCTTGGTTTGTGCTCTGACATGCACTGTCAACTGTGGGACCTTATATAGACAGGTGTGTGCCTTTCCAAATCATGTCCAATCAACTGAATTTACCACAGGTGGACTCCAATCAAGTTGTCGAAACATCTCAAGGATGATCAATGGAAAATTGATGCACCTGAGATCAATTTTGAGTATCATAGCAAAGGGTCTGAATACTTATGTAAATTAGGTATTTCTGTGTTACATTTTTAATTAATTTGCAAAAATGTCTAAAAACCTGTTTTCGCTTTGTCATTATGGGGTATTGTGTGTAGATTGATGAGGAAACATTTTTATTTATTCAATTTTAGAATAAGGCTGTAACGTAACAAAATGTGGAAAAAGTGAAGGGGTCTGAATACTTTCCGAATGCACTGTTTATATGGAGACAGTTTAGTGCCAAAAATAACGGGTTAAATACATTTTTTAAATTTTTTTTAAATATAATAATGTTTCCTGATCTTTCTTATCTCTCTCAAATATAGGACACAAACTTCCTTTAGATTTTTTTGTTGTTCCATTTAGTGAATCTGTTATTCAATGCGTTTGTATGGGCTAATAACAGTAAGGCCAAATAATACTTTTTTTTTGTATTTTCTTTTGATACTTCAAGGGGTCTTAAAATTCCAAATCAAATAGCTAAATGTTCTTGGTATTCCACATAGCTTAGTAGAACCCCTTCCCGCCCGGGATGGTTTTTCAATACCGTCAATACCGTTTAAACTATTAGAAGTTTTTTAAAAATAAATTTGAATATTTGTAGCTACTTTTTAAATATCTGCAGTCCATGTGTGCAATACGTTAGGAGATAAAGAACATTGCGTTCTTCATTTCACCTGTCACATTATTAAAAAGCTTACGGTAGTCCCCAGTCACGTCTCATATGGTGTTTGTTTACAAGCACACATTAATGAAAGACCGGAGCGTTGTGAGTCACTCACTGTTGTGCAGCATGCGCCAGGTGATCTACAATATATATACAAAGTCTGTGGACACCCCATCAAATTAGCGGATTCGGCAACACTCGTTGCTGACAGGTGTATAAAATCGAGCACACAGCCATGCAATCTCCATAGACAAACATTGGCAGTAGAATGGACTTACTGAAGAGCTCAGTGACTTTCAACGTGGCATCGTCATAGGATGCCACCTTTCCAACAAGTCAATTCGTCAAATTTTTGCCCTGCTAGAGCTGCCCCGGTCAACTGTAAGCACTGTCATTGCCAAGTGGAAACATAGGAGCAACAACAGCTCAGCCGGACATATTCAATCTCTCCCTATCCCAGTCTGCTGTCCCCAAATGCTTCAAGATGGCCACCATTGTTCCTGTACCCAAGAAAGCAAAGTTAACTGAACTAAACAACTATCGCCCCGTAGCACTCACCTCTGTCATCATGAAGTGCTTTGAGAGACTAGTCAAGGATCATATCACCTCTACCTTACCTGCCACCCTAGACCCACTTCAATTTGCTTACTGCCCCAATAGATCCACAGACGATACAATCGCCATCAATCTGCACACTGCCCTATCCCACTGCTCTAAGAGGAATACCTATGTAAGAATGCTGTTCATTGACTATAGCTCAGCATTCAACACCATAGTACCCTCCAAGCTCATCATTTAGCTCGAGGCCTTGGGTCTGAACCCCGCCCTGTTCAATTGGGTCCTGGACTTCCTGACGGGTCACCCCTATGTGGTGAAGGTAGGAAACAACACCTGCACTTCACTGATCCTCAACACTGGGGCCCCACAAGGCATCAGAAGGTGAGGTCAGTACAGGTGCATCAAAGCTGGGACAGAGAGACTGAAAAACAGCTTCTATCTCAAGGCCATCAGTCTGTTAAACAGCCATCACTAGCACATTAGAGGCTGCTGTCTATAGACATAGACTAGAGATTACTGGCCACTTTAAGAAATGGAACACTAGCCACTTTAATAATGTTTACATATCTTGCATTACTCATCTCATATGTATATACTGTATTCTATACTATTCTACTGTATCTTAGTCCATGCCGCTCTGACATCACTCGTCCATATATGCATATATTCTTAATTCATTCCTTACTTAGGTGTGTATTATATGTTGTGAAATTGTTAGATATATCGGTAAGCATATCGGAATCGGCCGATATTAGCTAAAAATGGCAACATCGGCATCGGCTCTATGTATAGTTTAACGTCGACGTGCAAAACCGATGTCAAAGCTGACGTGCATACCTTGTATAATGTGGGTAGATGACGTAATGACGCTATGAAAAATACAGCGCTACACATGCAACACAGCATTCCTAACCTAGCCCACAATGTCTGCTGTGTGGATCTATTTGGAAGTTTCAAAGGAAGATCACAAAAAGGCCATATGCAACGTTTGTGCTGCTATTATTTCCCAAGGAGTGGAGAAAGTGAAATCTTTCAAAATCACAAACCTAATTACTCATTTGAAAGGGCATCACCCCCAGACGTTCAGCGACTACTTAGAACAAAAGTAGAAAAAAACTAAGCGCACACTTCCAACAACTAAACAAGTTCAAGTCGAGCAGTCATTTGAAAGAGTAAGAACATTTCTGTGAGACAACTCAAAGGCGAAATCCATTAACGCCAAGATAATGGAATTCATTGCCCTTGACAATCAACCGTTCTCTGTCGTGGATGATGTTGGCTTTCGCCGACTGGTCAAGCACCGGTACACACTACGAAGTAGGCGCTATTTTTCAGATGTTGCCCTACTGGAGTTACACAGTATTGTTGAAACGCACATCCATGAGCTACTTGCTATGGGCGTCACTGCTATTAGTTTCACGACTGACATTTGGACCAGCGATGTCAGCCCCATGAGCATGCTGAGTCTGACAGCACAGTGGGTCGACGAGGATTTCGTACTGAGCAAAGCCGTATTGCATGCTCAAGAATGTGCTGGTTCTCATACCTCTGCTGCCATTTCAATGGCATTAGAGAACATGTTTGAAACTTGGAAAATCCCCAAGAACAAAGTACACACTGTGCTACGTGATAATGCATGTAACATGACAAAGGCTATGGAAGAACGCGGAGTCGCCAGTTTGCCATGCATGGCACACACGCTGCAACTGGCTGTGAACGAAGTTGTTTTGGCCCAACGCAGCATATCTGACACAGTTGCAACAGGTAGGAAGACAGTGGGTCATTTTAAACACTAACAGCCTGCATACAGCCACCTACAAGCAATACAGGAGCAGCTTGGAGTGAAAACGAAAAGGCTTAAGCAAGACTTTTCCACCAGATGGAACAGTACTTTTTACATGATGGAGAGCCTGCTGGAACAAAAACAAGTGCTTGGCGTGTACGCAGCCGACTATGAGTTACCAGCAACAATCAGTACAAACCAGTGGACTCTCATTGAAAACATGAACAGACTCCTAGCTCCATTCGAACAACTGACTCGAGAAATAAGCTCATCAACTGCGTCCGCAGCAGACGTGATACCCTCTGTCATGGCATTGAAACGCCTGCTCAACAAAACTGCCGACACAGACCGTGGGGTTAAAACTCGCAAAAGTACTCTACTAGAGGCTGTGAACAAGCGATTCGGTGGCATTCTCTCTGAGCCTCTTTACTGTGTCGCCACCATGGTCGATGCTAGGTACAAGGACTGCTACTTCGATGCAGACAAGAAACAGGGTTTACGTGAAATGTTAACAGACACAGCTGGACAAGATGGAAACGGACACAGTGACAGTGCACACCGAGGAAGAGGACCCATGACAGAAGAGGCCACGGACAGACAGAGCTGAAACTTCATTGCTTGACATGTATGATGAAATCCTGGTTGAGAATGGAACGACTGAACAAAGGAACAACAAAACAGCACAGCAAGTAAGTGAAAGAAGTAGGTTTTGATGATGTTTTACTGGAAATGGGGACATATGTAAATGCCAACAAAATAACATTTTGGTCAGTGTGTGTTTCTCTGTGAGAGAGCGACGCGTTGTATTTTCATTTTCTGTTACTACATCAGCCAACATTTGCCAATGTTGATCTATGCCTAATGATCCTTTGGAATGCAAGAATAATGCAATGTTGTATTAAATGTACTAACCCCTCCCCCTTCCCATTATTTTTAGATACTAGCACACCTGACAGATCCTATTATTCCCAGGAATGAAGATGCACTTGGATACTGGAGAAGTAACAAGCACCGTTTCCTCATCCTAGCTGAAGCTGCCCGCAAGTATCTTGGTGCTCCCTGTACTAGTGTGGACAGTGAGCGCCTTTTCAGTGCAGCTTCACACATTGTAGACGAAAAAACAAACAGACTCTCCTGACAAAGCTGAGCAGGTCCTCTTAGTGATGAAAAACCTCCCCCAAATGTTAAAATTGTAAACGGGCAGTCATATTGTAACCCAGACATCTTAAGTCACTGGAAGAAAATAAGGCCAAAGGCTTTTCTGTTGTTTATTCATGGCTGGTATAGGTCAAGATTTTAATTTAAAACTAAGCTTTTTTTTTTTTTCTAAATGAAAGATGAGATATATACAGTGGGGGAAAAAGTATTTAGTCAGCCACCAATTGTGCACGTTCTCCCACTTAAAAAGATGAGAGAGGCCTGTAATTTTCATCATAGGTACACGTCAACTATGACAGACAAATTGAGAAAAGAAATCCAGAAAATCACATTGTAGGATTTTTTATGAATTTATTTGCAAATTATGGTGGAAAATAAGTATTTGGTCACCTACAAACAAGCAAGATTTCTGGCTCTCACAGACCTGTAACTTCTTCTTTAAGAGGCTCCTCTGTCCTCCACTCGTTACCTGTATTAATGGCACCTGTTTGAACTTGTTATCAGTATAAAAGACACCTGTCCACAACCTCAAACAGTCACACTCCAAACTCCACTATGGCCAAGACCAAAGAGCTGTCAAAGGACACCAGAAACAAAATTGTAGACCTGCACCAGGCTGGGAAGACTGAATCTGCAATAGGTAAGCAGCTTGGTTTGAAGAAACCAACTGTGGGAGCAATTATTAGGAAATGGAAGACATACAAGACCACTGATAATCTCCCTCGATCTGGGGCTCCACGCAAGATCTCACCCCGTGGGGTCAAAATGATCACAAGAACGGTGAGCAAAAATCCCAGAACCACACGGGGGGACCTAGTGAATGACCTGCAGAGAGCTGGGACCAAAGTAACAAAGCCTACCATCAGTAACACACTACGCCGCCAGGGACTCAAATCCTGCAGTGCCAGACGTGTCCCCCTGCTTAAGCCAGTACATGTCCAGGCCCGTCTGAAGTTTGCTAGAGTGCATTTGGATGATCCAGAAGAGGATTGGGAGAATGTCATATGGTCAGATGAAACCAAAATATAACTTTTTGGTAAAAACTCAACTCGTCGTATTTGGAGGACAAAGAATGCTGAGTTGCATCCAAAGAACACCATACCTACTGTGAAGCATGGGGGTGGAAACATCATGCTTTGGGGCTGTTTTTCTGCAAAGGGACCAGGACAACTGATCCGTGTAAAGGAAAGAATGAATGGGGCCATGTATCGTGAGATTTTGAGTGAAAACCTCCTTCCATCAGCAAGGGCATTGAAGATGAAACGTGGCTGGGTCTTTCAGCATGACAATGATCCCAAACACACCGCCCGGGCAACGTAGGAGTGGCTTCGTAAGAAGCATTTCAAGGTCCTGGAGTGGCCTAGCCAGTCTCCAGATCTCAACCCCATAGAAAATCTTTGGAGGGAGTTGAAAGTCCGTGTTGCCCAGCGACAGCCCCAAAACATCACTGCTCTAGAGGAGATATGCATGGAGGAATGGGCCAAAATACCAGCAACAGTGTGTGAAAACCTTGTGAAGACTTACAGAAAACGTTTGACCTGTGTCATTGCCAACAAAGGGTATATAACAAAGTATTGAGAAACTTTTGTTATTGACCAAATACTTATTTTCCACCATAATTTGCAAATAAATTCATAAAAAAATCCTACAATGTGATTTTCTGGATTTTTTTTCTCATTTTGTCTGTCATAGTTGACGTGTACCTATGATGAAAAGTACAGGCCTCTCATCTTTTTAAGTGGGAGAACTTGCACAATTGGTGGCTGACTAAATACTTTTTTCCCCCACTGTAGCAGTTTATGACAGCCTAGAGACAGTAATTTTTTCAAGCAGTTAAAGCTAAAATAATTAACAGCATTTTAGTTTAAACCAATATTTATTTCAAAGCATTTTTAAGTTTCTCCATACAGTCAAGATTGGATAGTAAGACGAGCCACCAACAACTTAACCATCTTTGTAATGTGGGGCAGCTAAAATATTAGTGTCATGAATATCTGTTGTGCAATAAAATACATTCATGGATTTGTCATTTTTATAATTGACAAGTTATTAAACAATCTGTTCATAACTGAACATATGACACTTTGTTTCAACTATTTAACTGTACTGGAATGCTTAAGAGGCCGCTAAAACTTTAAATATCGGATATCGGTATCGGCCAAAAATGTCATATCGGTGCATCCCTAGATACTACTGCACTGTCGGAGCTAGAAGCACAAGCATTTCGCTACACCCGCAATAACATCTGCTAAACACGTGTATGTGACCAATAAAATTTGATTTGAAGTGGTAGGCAACGCAAGCACACAGAACGTGACCGGCGAGTGCTGAAGCGCGTACCGCATAAACATTGTCTGTCCTCGGTTGCAACACTCCCTACTGAGTTCCAAACTGCCTCTGGAAGCAGTGGAAACGCGTTCTCTGGAGAGATGAATCACGCTTCACCATCTGAACGCTACCTGCCCCAATGCATAGTGCCAACTGTAAAGTTTGGTGGAGGAGGAATAATGGAATGGGGCTGTTTTTCATGGTTCGGGCTAGTTCCAGTGAAGGGAAATCTTAACGCTACAGCATACAAAAACATTCTAGATGATTCTGTGCTTCCAACTTTGCGGCAACAGTTTGGGAAAGGCCTTTTCCTGTTTCAGCATGACAATGCCCCCATGCACAAAGCGAGGTCCATACAGAAATGGTTTGTCGAGATCAGTGTGGAAGAACTTGACTGGCCTGCACAGAGCCCTGACCTCAACCCCATTGAACACCTTTGGGATGAATTAGAACGCTGACTGCGAGCCAGGCCTAATCACCAAACATCAGTGCCCGACCTCACTAATGCTTGTGGCTGAATGGAAGCAAGTCCCCGCAGCAATGTTCCAACATCTAGTGGAAAGCCTTCCCAGAAGAGTGGAGGCTGTTATAGAAGCAAAGGGGGGACCAACTCCATATTAATGCCCATGATTTTGGAATGAGATGTTCGACGAGCAGGTGTCCACATACTTTTGATCATGTATTTGGACTACCGAGTGGCGCAGCGGTCTAAGGCACTGCATCTCAGTGCTTGAGGCGTCACTTCAGACCCCCTGGTTCGATTCCAGGCTGTATCACAACCGGCTGTGATTGGGAGTCCCATAGGGCGGCGCACAATTGGCTCAGCGTCTTCCGGGTTTGGCCGGTGTAGGCCGTCATTGTAAATAAGAATTTGTTCTTAACTGACTTGCCTAGTTAAATAAAGGTAAAATAAAAATAAATGTAGTGTAAATACAGTATGGAATTCACAACTAAATGTTTGCCAGCTGGATATCTTATAACTATTGAGTTAACTGTCTAAAATATGCTGAATGCTCTGCAGTTGTGCATTTGGTTTGCTAATACTTGTATAGTTTAGGTCAGAAACTGAACAAAATGTTTGCAATGTGCTATTTAGCATTTTCTATGGGATTTTCCATGTACTTGTTAGCATTACTAACCTTCGGATTACAGAGTATGAGTGGGGTTTGAAAACAGTGCCCCATGTGTTCAGTGCTGGTATTACCGAATATCCCAGTATGGCACAAGCTCGGTATGAAGGTATGACAATATGGATACCGCCCAAGCCTACATTTAATTATACCGAGCTGACAAAGACCCGCAGGTTAGGCCAAGGCGAAAATGTAACAAGTTTTGTTCAAATGTGCACTTGCTTCACCTCCTCCAGAACACAATAAACCTCAGGGCTCAGGCATCCCAGTCAGTGTAAGTGGACTCCCCTGTCACTGTCAGTACCCACACAGCTTTGATAGTACCCCAGCCAGGACCAAGTAAATCTTCTCCCCAGGCTATAACTCGAACTCTCTATTCATGAGACTTCCCTGAATAGGAGGCTCTAGGCTCTGGCCAGTGTGGCCACTAACCCCAGTCCAGCTGGAATAGCCTGCTATCTGCCACAGCTGAGGAGGGAGACGTGCCAGTTGTGATGGGGTAGGATGAATGGAGGACTGCCAGCCTCAGCAGATGGATTTGAAGGATGATATCAACCCTAGAACGACTCACTGCTGCTAAAATCTGCCCTTGCCTATTTTTAGGGTAAGCCATGTGGATGGGATCTGATTGCGAGGATGTGTGTGTATGACTTTATATAATTTGACTGCCAATGTGTGCGCCTACGGGTGCTTCGGGTCAACATGATGCAACTACACTGGGCTTGACCCAATAAATCAGGCAATAAAAATATAGAAACAAAACTGAAGGCGCTATGGTGAAGGTGATATGGCCATGATAGGGGGAAAATAGCTCAGTTGATAGAGCATGGCGTTTGCAACGCCAGGGTTGTGGGTTTGATTCCCACGGGGGGCCAGTATAAAAAAAAAAAATGTATTCACTAACTGTAAGTCGCTCTGGATAAGAGCGTCTGCTAAATGACTAAAATGTAAATGTAAAATGCAGAACAGAAAGGGCAGCAAAGACATGGTCTGTTTTAGAAGGCTGGGCATGAAAATGTGCTAGCTACTGACACTGAACAGTAAAAGCAGATATAAAAGATAGCTTTTCAATATGTAGGCCTAGTAGCTTGAAGGTTTATGTGGTCAGTTGTCCCCAGCTGAGGCACAAGGCTTTGTGATGGCTTGGCATTGCTCATGTGCCCTCAAGGTGTGAAAGACATGCATAAATGCTTGCCAGAGATGGTGGATGCACACTGCAAGGTTTTTGACTTCTGCATAAATAGGGTTTTACTGATGCCTCCAACCACACCACTGCTATTCTCTGTGATACGGCAATGAAACATTCCCCCTTTTTATAAAAAACTAAAGGAAAATACATGGATTTGCCTTGTCACAAAAGAAGCTCTATGGCATTTAGACTATCAAATGAAGGAAGTGGATCAAACAGACTGCACTTCCTTGATTTAATCTAAATTTGTAACAATGGTGAGTTACACTCGATATAGCCTGCATACTCTAGTCTAGTCTATACGTCTTTGAAATGTAGCCTTTCTGACTAGGCTAGTTCTTTCAGTCTGTTGACATTGACAGAGGAATGTCTGTTGTTAAGTTACAGTAAAGGCTACAATGCAACTCAATCTACTTCATGTAGCCTATAGCCTTAATTCTTTATCATGAGAGTACCTTGCCTAAAAATGAGTGAGGTGACGATTGCTTACATCACTAGAACTCAGGTACTGGACAAGATAAAAGTCCACAATATTGCAACCAAACTACCTTCAACGAGGCAAAGGGGATTTGGAAGGGGAAAAACGGACAAAGATCCACCTTGTACCAAAACATTGTCTCATTAAAAGTTGATTGAGTGCAAACTGGTTGTTTCTGGGTCCCTCACCCACCTCCATATCCACTCACCCTTGTCCTCGTCCATGCTGTCAATTCTGATCCCTACCTCTGGCTGTAACCATCACAAGCTGAACATCTCATATTCTTCCTGCTAAGAACAGAAGGAAAATCAGAAGTGTTTCAGTAAGGGGAACAAGTTGTCATGACCAAAACAACTGATTAATCTTCTCATTCGATTGAAATTGGAAACTGACGGAAATGAATGATGTGTGATAGGCAGGCATGTCTCCAATGACCTCATGCATTGTAAGTAACAGCTGACGAAATGAGAAAGGAATCCAGGACACAGAAGATAAGAGAAGCGAGAGGGGTTTTACATTGAAATGGAATGGGTGTTCTAGTGTCTTTCAATGGAGCAGCTGTCAAGTAGACTAACTCCAGAGACCTCTACCGTGACATTCTGGAGCAAAGAGTGTCTACAGGCATTAATCTCATTAGTCTTCTATTCACATAACGTTTAAGCCTCTTACTTTTGTGATAGCTGCACAACTTCACATCTTCATTAAATCTCACACATTTGAATGAATCTGCATGCACTGAAGAAAAGGTGTTACAGCAAGCCATTGTTATTTTTGATGGTGAAATCAGAAAAAGAAGTCCAGAGTAGAGAGACCGTTGAAGGTTTGAACTTTCGGTAGTTAGCTCTATGTACAGCTCAATTTCTGTATTGGCATCATTCTAGGTATATAAAATAGGATTGATTTTAAACTGTATAAAAGTCAGTCATTCAAATCCATCTAGCTAAGTACTTTGCAAATCCTGTTATGTAACTAGGCTATCTAGGTTTCTGGTACAGTATTGCTAACGTTATGCATTGAACTCGCAACATTGTCGTCTGTACCTCAATGGGATAGACACCTGTAACATCGAGCAATCAGCAAGGACAAGAACCAGTTGTCTGTAAACAGCACCGCCATGCAAAAAAAACCTGTCAAGTTGGGATATGTTGACCGTGTCTTAACGATAACCTACCTTAATTGGGCGTTTTGACCATAGAAGTCCTAGATAGCTACATGGTGATAGTGGGAGTTTTAAAAAGGCTATTCGAGAAGAGAACATTTCCACCGGTGTTTCCCATGTGACCCAGACAGAGAACTAGATATATATTGTTCGTGCGTTCATGTGCTTGATTTCTAAAATAGATACACACATATTTACAAAAATGCAGATAAATCGGCAGGTAATAATAGTTCACTCACTACAGATGTGATATTTTCACGTCTGACAACTGCCCCCCCCGGGTTGTGCCACACTGTCCGGCCCGCAGACCCCTACTCCCCCCCGTAAAATATAGCAAAGGCCGGGGGCTCTAACGTATGCTGTTTAGTCAAACCGCTGCCTCCAGATCGAGCTGCAGACAAAACGGAGCATTCCCTGCACATCTACTGACAGTCCAGTCGCAGTCTGAACTACATTCACTCACTGTTGTGATTCATTAGATTTGTTTATCTTTCCCAGCGAGCGGTTCCTTACCTTCGTTTGCCAGGTCCGCCATTTTCCTTCCTCACTGACACCCACAATACTCCGCGGTAGACATGCGTGTTATGGCTGGGCTAACAAAATGTTACCACCACTAGAGGGAGTCATGTTCACACAATGTAAGCATAATGAAACATCACACTTGACTTAAGTTGAAAACATTTTATTAATTTGACAATAAAGCATCATGTTTTCTGTCTATTTCAAAATAGCAATTATCTTTCAAATATAGAAAAAAATGGAAATAAAAACAAACAGTTGTATTGTATAGCAAAAACTGAACTATTGCTTTGACAGATTTACAAGTTCAAGGCCTATGCTATTCAGTTTTTTTTTTAACTACGCAGAGTTCCTCCATTAGTGCTATCAAACCATAATTATTAATTTATTCACAATTTATGGAACACAATGAAATCCCTATTATCCTACACGATCATTTAGTAAAAAGCACTTTTTGCAAAATGTCTCAATGTGCATCGGCCAAATGAAACCATTGATGTAGTTGCACGTGATCAAACGCTACATGTTAGCTGTTCCCATTACATAACTTGACACATTTAGCCCTATGTAAGCTAACCTGAGCAGGTGGCAGTGATTATTTCCCGTAACAAATTCTGCATCAGCCTATCAACGTTAACAACCTATGGCATTTCTTAAAATAGATCAAAATGGCCACCAGAAGGATATTTTTAAACCTGCAAATTCCGCTTGGTCTGTCTCAAGTATAGTGCCAATATTGCATGATGCATCCTTGACTACGCTAACAGAAACATTTCAAAAGGCACGTTTTCACATATATGACAAAATCCCAAGTTTTTGCACATCCGTTTCACACACATCCATGTGCTTTTACAGAAAAAAAACGATGAAGGAGGTCTATACAATATTTATACAGTTTATCATACATCGTTACAAAAAGTTAAAGAGCCTTATGGACTTGTCAAATAGCTGTCATGTACCGTCATTATTCAGTCCTGGTGGCACACACTGTTGACGCTAAAATGACAGTGCTCATTAACCGTGATTTCAAGCCCACCTCTTGTCAAGTATTTTTGTTAAGAAAAACACTGTTCATTTCTGGTCCGCGATGCTAGATTCAAATAACGCATTTGTCACAAAGTGGATGATTATAATAATGCATATAAAACGTTGTACGTGTAGCCTACACATATACTAGTGCTGAGCAATTCGTGTTTTATGAGGTCGGTTTCGGGTTTGATTCTGAAAAAATAATAAAGGTTTTAGATTTCCATACATTTTAAAAATACATTAAATGCACTATGCATTATGTGGGTTGAATTCTATAACACCGAATAAAACAATGACTAAAAGTCCCATGATGGTAGTGACTGCCCACTACTGCTTATCCCTTATTAACCATAATTTATTCACATTACTTTACTTTCATAAAATATTTGTTTTATTTGATGACTATTATTTCATTTCAAGTCATCTCATATAGAGCTACTGCCTATGCTGTAAAAATCACTATCTTAGTAGTTCTTCAAAGTAAATAAGGTGTAGCTTAGTTGGTAGCACATGGCGCTTGCAACGCCAGGGTTGTGGGTTAGTTTCCCACGAGGGCCAGTATGAAAAAATGTATGCACTCACTAACTGTAAGTCGCTCTGGATAAGAGCGTCTGCAAAAAAAATTATAATTTTTTTTTAAAAAAACTGTTCTTCAAAGTAAATAAGGTATACTTTTATGACTGCTGAATTCCAACTATAAATCACAATCCAGGCTGGCGAAGCAACTGCTTCCTATTGCACGTTCTCGCTTCTCTCCGTGTGTGTTGTAAATTGCCTCCAGTGTATCAGAGTGCGCTCTGGGCCATTTGTAAATTCAGAGCATTGTAAAGTTGTCCTTTATTAAACAACGGGTGGGTCTAATCCTGAATGCTGATTGGTTAAAACCCACATTCCAGCCGGTGTCTATTCCACAAGTTACCACCGGCTAAATCTATTACTTTAAAATGCCTATTTACTCTGTTCCATCTGACTGCGCAATCCACTCTCATCAGCCTCCAGGCAATTTATAAACTTGATCTCCACTATAAAAAGCATCTAGGCATTATCTATTTCTTTTAGACTAATGTCGTGTATGAAGATTATGACTATTCTAGAGGGACAAAGGAAAGATGTTTATCTTAGTTCAAAAGTAGCCAGTGGTAGGGTGATGCCCCAGGGGGGATAGGTGATTGGACGGAAGAGGGAGCAACCCATATTTTGCCATTGTTTATAAGTATGAGCTAGACAAAGAGGGGGTCAGAAGCATTCAGATTATTTTGGGACGGTGCTTCTCCAGACACCGCGGGTCTGTAACTTATGCTGTAAACTTGTGATATGAATAAAAGCTTCTAATCAAGGTGCAGCCTAAGCGGACTCTTTGTTTGACAGCAATAACCACCAACAGCCGACGGGACACGACACTAACATTTAGTTTTCAACAGCAGAGATTTGTATAAACCTTGCTGTCTGGCTCTCCGACATTTGCAACATTGTTTCAATATTCAAATTCGATCTCCAGCTGTCCCATAGTAATGAACGTGTCAGGAGTCGGGACGAGACAGACAGGCAGGCAGGTAGCATTTCTCAGCCAGTCGAAATCATGAATCAGCTGGCATCATTTTTATGGATATATACAAAGGTCAAACGAAACGAAGTGCAGCTAGTTTGCAGTCTTTCCAGCTTCAGTTTTAAGTGATTGTGTTAGCTGTGTTGTTGGCTAGCTTCTCTGAACAACAGTGTCCTGATGAGAGAGTACATTTTCATTAGCTCATTGTTATGGATGTGTCCAAATAAATGTCACTAGAAAACAGCTTAAACAAATGCAGCTACTGTTGTTGTTCTGCCTGCACTGTTTGACATGACTGTAAATTAGCCGTAGTTGGCTAGCTAGCAAGCAAGGGATTAGAACGTTGCCAGCCAGTACGGCAATGGAACATTTAGAACGAACGACTGGGTCGCGTCCATAGATACAGAACGACTGGGTCTCGTAGAACGCTGCTTGGGTAGCAACCCTGGATTACGATATATTAAAATATGTCAATCATTACTTGAATATGTTGGTAACCCGTTGTATAAAAGTGATAATGCCCTCGAACCTGGTGTTTGGAGGATATATTGGCACAGTTTGCATGCCCGAGACGAAACACCCGTGCCAATATATCCTCCAAACACAGGCTTCTCTGGTATTATCACTTAAGTAAATTCAGAGCGTTTCGCTCTCTGAGCATTCAGAGCGCACACTGGACGCTCTGGCCAAGGAGTAGGGTTGATCCGAGAGTTCTGACCTCACAAAGGCAGTCAAGTGCCCAAGCTAACTGGCTAAAGTTGGTTAGCTTGCTAGTTACTGCCACACACAAATGAGACAACACCTCACTCTGACCATTTTAATTGCCCTAGCAGAGCTAGTTAGGCTGTTTTCATGTTATCTAGAGCATTAGTGACTAACTGTGCTGCTAGCAACAATTTAATTCAGTTTTTTTGCCAACCGTTACTGATACCTGTCATATTCAACAGGTGTTCCGCATTCGTAAATAATCAGTTGTTCTGCGCTCTGGCACACTCAAACGAGAGTGGTCTGAAATCAGAGTAGATAGACAAAATTAATTTACAAAAACCACCCCATGTCTTGCTCAGGACAGACCAGACAAGTTTAAGTGGGCACGCAATGGATTGTAGTTAATTACGTTTTCTGCGCTAAACTATGTAGAATATTGGACTGCTGGAAACTTCAAATCCCTACTACGTCGCACAGTTCAGGCTTTATCTAATTTATCTGTACAGAAACTGCACATCTAGCTCACAGAAAAAAACTGAACGAAATAGAATTCAAATAATTGAACCGACGCCGGTTAAATCGCTCAGCACTAAAATCTATGTAATATAGCTTATAAAAGCAACACCTATTTATGTATCAGTGCCAGTAGCCTATGTGTCGGTCTGCAAGAGGGACTCCAACAAGAAGCTCCTCATTAAATGTATGCGTAATCTTCATTTACAAGGTTTTGGCTACACTTCTCCTCAACTCACTAACACAATAAAAGTAATTCTGCATTTCAAAAGGACTAAAAAAATTAATGAGATTCAAACCCTTGCCACAATCAGCAACAATTACATGGAGTTGGCACTCTACACAGAGAGCTATTTGACCAGTAAGTCAAACACACGTGATCTAGTTGCTTTGATTATCAGAACGCGCCGTTGGACTTTTGTTAAGGACACTTTCATGAATAAGTGTTGGATCATGTCCAACTACTACGTCAACGATTTTAATTGTCCGATACAGAATTTGAACCAGATATAATCACGGCCAGCTGTGCAAGTTATCACAGCTGACCGCCCAGAGTTCCCAGTTGTCTTGAAAGCACCAATAGTGTTTGATCACGTGCAACTACGCCAACGATTTTAATTGGCTGATGCGCATTTTGAGACGGAGAAAAAGTGTAAACTTTAAAAAAAAATCAAGTTCGGAAGTATGGCCCCACTTCCCATTAAATGGCTGGGAACACAAGTCCTATAGAAAATAATTTGGACCCAGTCTCACTGGCAGAGGTAAAGAGTAAAAGGTAATTAGCCTATTCCTGGTCACCCACAAGCTCATAACGTGGTTTATGTCTGTACAGACAGTAGTGCTGAATGATGAACACCACATCGAAGAATATGGAGAACAAGCCAAGTCCTGCCTTTGTGGGGTCCCCAAAGATGAGCTTCCATTCATCTAGGAAACAATAGAAAAACCCATTAAACCCTGACTTAGACCATCAGATAATTCAGCAAGTGATGTAGTAAGTCACAATTCTGTTTAAGACAGATGGAATTAATCAGAAAAACAACAAAATGTATCACTATTTCAATGTACTTTTATAACCTTTTTAAGACATTATTTAAATAACTGTCTTTTCCTTTTCCGTATGTTTTTGTAGTTGTTATTTTTTATATGTTTATGACTTGTTTGTTATGATTTGTCTGCTATTCTCCCAGCCACAGGTAAAGAGATGGGTGGGTGGGTTGGCAGGGCTCATGGGTGGGTGGGTGGGTGGGTTGGCAGGGCTCGTGGGTGGGTGGACATGAAAAGGAAACCCTGTATTATGAATATTGTGCCACTGTGTCGTATATACAGTGAGGGAAAAAAGTATTTGATCCCCTGCTGATTTTGTACGTTTGCCCACTGACAAAGACATGATCAGTCTATAATGGTAGGTTTATTTGAACAGTGAGAGACAGAATAACAACAACAAAAATCCAGAAAAACGCATGTAAAAAATGTTAGAAATTGATTTGCATTTTAATGAGGGAAATAAGTATTTGACCCCTCTGCAAAACATGACATAGTACTTGGTGCAAATCCCCTGTTGGCAATCAGAGGTCAGACGTTTCTTGTAGTTGGCCACCAGGTTTGCACACATCTCAGGAGGGATTTTGTCCCACTCCTCTTTGCAGATCTTCTCCAAGTCATTAAGGTTTCGAGGCTGACGTTTGGCAACTCGAACCTTCAGCTCCCTCCACAGATTTTCTATGGGATTAAGGTCTGGAGACTGGCTAGGCCACTCCAGGACCTTAATGTGCTTCTTCTTGAGCCACTCCTTTGTTGCCTTGGCCGTGTGTTTTGGGTCATTGTCATGCTGGAATACCCATCCACGACCCATTTTCAATGCCCTGGCTGAGGGAAGGAGGTTCTCACCCAAGATTTGACGGTACATGGCCCCGTCCATCGTCCCTTTGATGCAGTGAAGTTGTCCTGTCCCCTTAACAGAAAAACACCCCCAAAGCATAATGTTTCCAAACTTCAGACGGGCCTGTATATGTGCTTTCTTGAACAGGGGGACCTTGCAGGCGCTGCAGGATTTCAGTCCTTCACGGCGTAGTGTGTTACCAATTGTTTTCTTGGTGACTATGGTCCCAGCTGCCTTGAGATCATTGCAAGATCCTCCCGTGTAGTTCTGGGCTGATTCCGCACCGTTCTCATGATCATTGCAACTCCACGAGGTGAGATCTTGCATGGAGCCCCAGGCCGAGGGAGATTGACAGTTATTTTGTGTTTCTTCCATTTGCGAATAATCGCACCAACTGTTGTCACCTTCTCACCAAGCTGCGTGGCGATGGTCTTGTAGCCCATTCCAGCCTTGTGTAGGTCTACAATCTTGTCCCTGACATCCTTGGAGAGCTCTTTGGTCTTGGCCATGGTGGAGAGTTTGGTATCTGATTGATTGAGTGCTTCTGTGGACAGGTGTCTTTTATACAGGTAACAAACTGAGATTAGGAGCACTCCCTTTAAGAGTGTGCTCTAATCTCAGCTCGTTACCTGTATAAAAAAGACACCTGGGAGCCAGAAATCTTTCTGATTGAGAGGGGGTCAAATATTTATTTCCCTCATTAAAATTCAAATCAATTTTAACATTTTTGACATGTGTTTCTCTGGATTTTTTTATTGTTATTCTGTCTCTCGCTGTTCAAATAAACCTACCATTAAAATTATAGACTGATAATTTCTTTGTCGGTGGGCAAATGTACAAAATCAGCAGGGGATCAAATACTTTTTTCCCCACACTGTATGTATGTATGTGTATATATATATATATATATATATATATATATATATATATATATACACATACAGTGGGGGAAAAAAGTATTTAGTCAGCCACCAATTGTGCAAGTTCTCCCACTTAAAAAGATGAGAGAGGCCTGTAATTTCCATCATAGGTACACGTCAACTATGACAGACAAAATGAGAGAAAAAAAATCCAGAAAATCACATTGTAGGATGAATTTTTAATGAATTTATTTGCAAATTATGGTGGAAAATAAGTATTTGGTCAATAACAAAAGTTTCTCAATACTTTGTTATATACCCTTTGTTGGCAATGACACAGGTCAAACGTTTTCTGTAAGTCTTCACAAGGTTTTCACACACTGTTGCTGGTATTTTGGCCCATTCCTCCATGCAGATCTTCTCTAGAGCAGTGATGTTTTGGGGCTGTCGCTGGGCACGATACATGGCCCCATTCATTATTTCCTTTACACGGATCAGTCGTCCTGGTCCCTTTGCAGAAAAACAGCCCCAAAGCATGATGTTTCCACCCCCATGCTTCACAGTAGGTATGGTGTTCTTTGGATGCAACTCAGCATTCTTTGTCCTCCAAAACACGACGAGTTGAGTTTTTACCAAAAAGTTATATTTTGGTTTCATCTGACCATATGACATTCTCCCAATCCTCTTCTGGATCATCCAAATGCACTCTAGCAAACTTCAGACGGGCCTGGACATGTACTGGCTTAAGCAGGGGGACACGTCTGGCACTGCAGGATTTGAGTCCCTGGCGGCGTAGTGTGTTACTGATGGTAGGCTTTGTTACTTTGGTCCCAGCTCTCTGCAGGTCATTCACTAGGTCCCCCCGTGTGGTTCTGGGATTTTTGCTCACCGTTCTTGTGATCATTTTGACCCCACGGGATGAGATCTTGCGTGGAGCCCCAGATCGAGGGAGATTATCAGTGGTCTTGTATGTCTTCCATTTCCTAATAATTGCTCCCACAGTTGATTTCTTCAAACCAAGCTGCTTACCTATTGCAGATTCAGTCTTCCCAGCCTGGTGCAGGTCTACAATTTTGTTTCTGGTGTCCTTTGACAGCTCTTTGGTCTTGGCCATAGTGGAGTTTGGAGTGTGACTGTTTGAGGTTGTGGACAGGTGTCTTTTATACTGATAACAAGTTCAAACAGGTGCCATTAATACAGGTAACGAGTGGAGGACAGAGGAGCCTCTTAAAGAAGAAGTTACAGGTCTGTGAGAGCCAGAAATCTTGCTTGTTTGTAGGTGACCAAATACTTATTTTCCACCATAATTTGCAAATAAATTCATTAAAAATCCTACAATGTGATTTTCTGGAATTTCTTTTCTCAATTTGTCTGTCATAGTTGACGTGTACCTATGATGAAAATTACAGGCCTCTCTCATCTTTTTAAGTGGGAGAACTTGCACAATTGGTGGCTGACTAAATACTTTTTTTCCCCACTGTACATATATATACAGTGCCCTCCACAATTATTGGCACCCCTGTTTAAGATGTGGTCGAGGACTTCCAAAAATTCTCATTTTTTTTAAAACAACATAGAACCCAAATGCAAAAAAATAGAAAAATCCAACCTTTTATTTAAGTACATTACTTTGGTGTAAAAAAAAAAAAATCACATTTAGAAAAAAAAAACTTGAAATCATGTGTCCCACAATTATTGGCACCCCTGATGTTAATACTTTGTACAACCCCCTTTTGCCAACAAGACAGCACTTAATCTCCTCCTATAACATTTCACAAGATTGGAGAACACAGAGAGAGGGATCTTTGACCATTCTTCTTTGCACAATCTTTCTAGATCATCCAGTGTCCTGGGTCCTCTCTTATGCACTCTCCTCTTTAGCTCGCCCCACAGGTTTTTGATTGGGTTGAGGTCTGGGGACTGAGATGGCCATGGGAGGACCTTGAGTTTGTGACTGCTGAACCATTTTTGTGTAGATTTTGCCACATGTTTTGGATCATTATCCTGCTGAAAGACCCAATGACGACCCATCTTCAGCTTTCTGGCAGAGGCCATCAGGTTTTTATTTAAAATGTCCTGGTAGTTCAAAGCGTTCATAATGCCATGCACCCTAACAAGGTTCCCAGGGCCTTTGGAAGAGAAACAGGCCCACAGCATCACAGATCCTCCACCATACTTCACGGTGGGCATGAGGTGCTTTTCGGCATACTCATCTTTTGTTTTACGCCAGACCCACTTAGAGTGTTTGTTGCCAAAAAGCTCAATCTTAGTCACATCTGACCAAAGCACACGATCCCAGTTGAAGTCCCAGTGCCGCTTAGCAAACTCCAGACGTTTACGTTTGTGAGTGTTAGTGAGAAAAGGCTTTTTCCTTGCATGCCTCCCAAACAGCTTGTTGGCATGTAGAGAGCGTCTGATGGTTGTTTTGGAGACTTTGTGACCCCAAGATGCCACTCTTTGATGCAATTCTGTGACAGTGAGCTTAGGACTTTTTTTTACTTCTCTTACCATCCTCCTCACTGTGCGTTGTGGCAAGATAAACTTGGGACCTCTTCCAGCCTTGTTTGTCACTGTTCCAGTTGTTTTAAACTTCTTAATGATTCCTCTGACTGTAGATACGGGCAAGTTAAGGCGAGTGGCTATTTTCTTGTAGCCATTGCCTGACATATGAAGGTCGACACAAATCTGCCTTACTTGAATGGTGTGTTCTCTTGTCTTTGCCATGTTGACAAATGGGTAAGAGAATTAGGCCTCTGTGTCACGTCATATTTATACCCCAGGGAAACAGGAAGTCATGAATTACTAATTAAAAGTTCCTAGATACCCTGACCAACTTTAGCAACTACAGAAAAATATATTTAAAAAAAAATCAATTAAAATTTACAGCGGGATTGTTAGGGGTGCCAATAATTGTGGGACACATGACTTGAAGTTTTTTTTTTTCTAAATGTGTGATTTTTTGTTTTACCACCAAAGTAATGTACTTAAATAAAAGGTTGGATTTTTCTCTTTTTTTGCATTTGGGTTCTATGTTGTTTAAAAAAAAAAGAGAATTTTTGGAAGTCCTCGACCACATCTTAAACAGGGGTGCCAATAATAGTGGAGGGCACTGTATGTATGTGTATATATATATATATATATATATATATATATATATATATATACACACAGCTGAAGTCGGAAGTTTACATACAACTTAGCCAAATACATTTAAACTCAGTTTTTCACAATTCCTGACATTTAATCCTAGTAAAAATTCCCTGTTTTAGGTCAGTTAGGATCACCACTTTATTTTAAGAATGTGAAATGTCAGAATAATAGTAGAGAGAATGATTTATTTCAGCTTTTATTTATTTCATCACATTCCCAGTGGGTCAGAAGTTTACATACACTCAATTAGTATTTGGTAGCATTGCCTTTAAATTGTTTAACTTGGGTCAAACGTTTCGGGTAGCCTTCCACAAACTTCCTACAATAAGTTGGGTGAATTCTGGCCCATTCCTCCTGACAGAGCTGGTGTAACTGAGTCAGATTTGTAGGCCTCCTTGCTCGCACACGCTTTTTCAGTTCTGCCCACAAATTTTCTTTAGGATTGAGGTCAGGGCTTTGTGATGGCCACTCCAATACCTTGACTTTGATGTCCTTAAGCCATTTTGCCACAACTTTGGAACTATGCTTGGGGTCATTGTCCATTTGGAAGACCCATTTACGACCAAGCTTTAACTTCCTGACTGATATCTGGAGATGTTGCTTCAATATATCCACATAATTTTCCTTCCTATTTTGTGATGTACACCAGTCCCTCCTGCAGCAAAGCCCCCCCACAGCATGATGCTGCCACACCCGAGCTTCACGGTTGGGATGGTGTTCTTCGGCTTGCAAGCCTACCTCTTTTTCCTCCAAACATAACGATGGTCATTATGGCCAAACAGTTCTATTTTTGTTTCATCAGACCAGAGGACATTTCTCCAAAAAGTACGATCTTTGTCCCCATGTACAGTTGCAAACCGTAGTCTGGCTTTTTTAATGGCGGTTTTGGGATTCTTTCAGGTTATGTCGATATAGGACTCGTTTTACTGTGGATATATAAACTTTTGTACCTGTTCCCTCCAGCATCTTCACAAGGTCCTTTGCTGTTGTTCTGGGATTGATTTGCACTTTTTGCACCAAAGTACGTTCACCTCTAGGAGACAGAACGCATCTTCTTCCTGAGCGGTATGACGGCTGCGTGGTCCCATGGTGTTTATACTTGCATACTATTGTTAGTACAGATGAACGTGGTACCTTCAGGCGTTTGGAAATTGCTCCCAAGGATGAACCAGACTTGTGGAGGTCTACAATAATATTTCAGAGGTCTTGGCTGATTTCTTTTGATTTTCCCATGATGTCAAGCAAAGAGGCACTGAGTTTGAAGGTAGGCCTTGAAATACATCCACAGGTATACCTCCAATTGACTCAAATGATGTCAATTAGCCTATCAGAAGCTTCTAAAGCCATGACATCATTTTCTGAAAATGTCCAAGCTGTTTAAAGGCACCGTCAACTTAGTGAATGTAAACTTCTGACCCACTGGAATTGTGATACAGTGAATTATAAGTGAAATAATCTGTCTGTAAACAATTGTTGGAAAAATTACTTGTGTCATGCACAAAGTAGATGTCCTAACCGGCTTGCCAAAACTATAGTTTGTTAACAAGAAATTTGTGGATTGGTTGAAAAACGAGTTTTAATGACTCCAACCTAAGTTTATGTAAACTTCCGACTTCAACTGTATATATACAGCTCTGGAAAAAATTAAGAGACCACTACACATTTTTCTTAAATCAGCATCTCTACATGTATGACAGCCATTCCATTCCAGTGTTTGTTGAATTCCAACACAGGCACACCTCATTCTACTGAATTAGGTACTGATTAGGTGATCACCTGAACCAAATCTTATTTAACGAGGAAAAGTATAAAAACCACTGCTGTGGTCATCACTATCCTCTTGCAATAGGACCAGCTGGATGGCAAAAACAGTGCTAATAGTACCGCAAAAGTAATATTAATCAAAAAAGAACTATTGACCATGCCAAAAGAGTTGAAAAGGAAAATTTTGAGTGAGGAAAAGAACAGTTCAATTCTGGCTTTACTGGCAGAGGGATACAGTGAGCGTCAGGTTGCTTCTTAAAATTTCAAAGACAGCGGTTCATAAGAACAAGGTCAAGCAGCAGACATTGGGGACAACAAAGCTACAGACCGGCAGAGGGCAAAAACGACTCTCTACTGACCGGGATTACCACCAACTCATTCGAATGTCACTCAACAACCGTAGGATGACATCAATTGAACTACAAAAATAATGGCAAAGGGCAGCTGGGGTGAAGTGCACGGCGAGGACGGTTTGAAACCGGCTCCTAGGGGCAGGACTGAAGTCTTGCAAAGTTAGAAAAAAGCCCTTCATCAATGAGAAGCAAAGAAGAGTCAGGCTGAGGTTTGCAAAAGACCATAAGGATTGGACCATAGAGGACTGGAGTAAGGTCATCTTCTCTGATGAGTCCAATTTTCAGCTTTGCCCAACACCTGGTCGTCTAATGGTTAGACGGAGACCTGGAGAGGCCTACAAGCCACAGTGTCTCACACCCACTGTGAAATTTGGTGGAGGATCGGTGATGATCTGGGGGTGCTTCAGCAAGGCTGGAATCGGGCAGATTTGTCTTTGTGAAGGATGCATGAATCAAGCCACGTACAAGGTTGTACTGGAAGAAAACTTGCTTCCTTTTGCTCTGACATTGTTCCCCAACAGGACAATGCGCCATGCCACACAGCCAGGTCAATCAAGGTGTGGATGGAGGACCACCAGATCAAGACCCTGTCATGGCCAGCCCAATCTCCAGACCTGAACCCCATTGAAAACTTCTGGAATGTGATCAAGAGGAAGATGGATGGTCACAAGCCATCAAACAAAGCCGAGCTGCTTGAATATTTGTGCCAGGAGTGGCATAAAGTCACCCAACATCAATGTGAAAGACTGGTGGAGAGCATGCCAAGACGCATGAAAGCTGTGATTGAAAATCAGGGTTATTCCACCAAATATTGATTTCTGAACTCTTCCTAAGTTAAAACATTAGTATTGTGTTGTTTAAAAATGAACATGAACTTATTTTCTTTGCATTATTCGAGGACTGACAGCACTGCATCTTTTTTGTTATTTTAACCAGTTGTCATTTTCTGCAAATAAATGCTCTAAATAACAATATTTTTATTTGGAATTTGGGAGAAATGTTGTCAGTAGTTTATAGAATAAAACAAAAATGTTAATTTCACCCAAACACATACCTATAAATAGTAAAAACCAGAGAAACTTATATTTTTGCAGTGGTCTCTTAATTTTTTCCAGAGCTGTATATACACACACACACACACACACAACCAAAAGTCTGTGGACACCTGCTTGTCGAACATCTCATTCCAAAATCATGGGCATTAATATGGAGTTGGTCCCCCCTTTGCTGCTATAACAGCCTCCACTCTTCTGTGAAGGCTTTCCACTAGATGTTGGAACATTGCTGCGGGGACTTGCTTCCATTCAGCCACAAGAGCATTAGTGAGGTCGGGCACTGATGTTGGGCGATTAGGCCTGGCTCGAAGTCGGCGTTCCAATTCATCCCAAAGGTGTTTGATGGGGTTGAGGTCAGGGCTCTGTGCAGGCTAGTCAAGTTCTTCCACACCGATCTCGACAAACCATTTCTGTATGGACCTCGCTTTATGCACGGGGGCATTGTCATGCTGAAACAGGAAAGGGCCTTCCCGAAACTGTTGCCACAAAGTTGGATGCATAGAATCGTATAGAATGTCATTGAATGCTGTAGCATTAAGATTTCCCTTCACTGGAACTGAGGAGCCCGAACCATGAAAAACAGCCCAAGACCATTATTCCTCCTCCACCAAACATTACAGTTGGCACTATGCATTGGGGCAGGTAGTGTTCTCCTGGCATCCACCATGTTCTGTGAGCTTGTGTGGCCTACCACTTCGCGGCTGAGCCTTTGTTGCTCCTAGACTTTCCACTTCACAACAACAGCACTTACAGTTGACCTGGGCAGCTCTAGCAGGGTAGAAATTTGACCAACTGACTTGTTGGAAATGTGGCATCCTATGACGGTGCCACGTTGAAAGTCCCTGAGCTCTTCAGTAAGGCCATTCTACTGCCAATGTTTGACTATGGAAATTGCATGGCTGTGTGCTCGACTTTATACACCTGTCAGCAATGGGTGTGGCTGAAATAGCCAAATCCACTAATTTGAAGGGGTGTCCACATAAGTTTGTATGTATGTATACACACACACACACAGTCAAAAGTTTGGACACCTACTCATTCAAGGGTTTTTCTGACATTTTTACATTGTATAATAATAGTGAAGACATCAAAACTATGAAATAACACATATTGAATCATGTAGTAACCAAAAAAAGTGTTAAACAAATCAAAATATATTTTATATTTGAGATTCTTCACATAGCCACCCTTTGCCTTGATGACAGCTTTACACACTCTTGGCATTCCCTCAACCAGCTTCATGAGGTAGTCACCTGGAATTCATTATAATTAACAGGTGTGCCTTCTTAAAAGTTAATTTGTGGAATTCCTTTCCTTCTTAATGCATTTGAGCCAATCAGTTGTATTGTGACAAGGTAGGGGGGGTATACAGAAGATAGCCCTATTTGGTAAAAGACCAAGTCCATATTATGGCAAGAACAGATCCAATAAGCAAAGAGAAACGACAGTCCATCATTACTTCAAGACATGAAGGTCAGTCAATACAGAACATTTCAAGAACTTTGAAAGTTTCTTCAAGTGCAGTAGCAAAAACCATTAAGCGCTATGATGAAACTGCCTCTCATGAGGACAGCCACAGGAATGGAAGACCCAGAGTTACAGTGAGGAAAAAAAGTATTTGATCCCCTGCTGATTTTGTATGTTTGCCTACTGACAAAGAAATGATCAGTCTATAATTTTAATGGTAGGTTTATTTGAACAGTGAGAGACAGAATAACAACAAAACAATCCAGCAAAACGCATGTCAAAAATGTTATGAATTGATTTGCATTTTAATGAGGGAAATAAGTATTTGACCCCCTCTCAATCAGAAAGATTTCTGGCTCCCAGGTGTCTTTTATACAGGTAACGAGCTGAGATTAGAGCACACTCTTAAAGTCCACAGAAACAATCAATCAGATTCCAAACTCTCCACCATGGCCAAGATCAAAGACCTCTCCAAGGATGTCAGGGACAAGATTGTAGACCTACACAAGGCTGGAATGGACTACAAGACCATCGCCAAGCAGCTTGGTGATAGGGTGACAACAGTTGGTGCGATTATTCGCAAATGGAAGAAACACAAAATAACTGTCAATCTCCCTCGTCCTGGGACTCCATGCAAGATCTCACCTCGTGGAGTTGCAATGATCATGAGAATGGTGAGGAATCAGCCCAGAACTACACGGGAGGATCTTGTCAATGATCTCAAGGCAGCTGGGACCATAGTCACCAAGAAAACAATTGGTAACACACTACGCCGTGAAGGACTGAAATCCTGCACCGCCCGCAAGGTCCCCCTGCTCAAGAAAGCACATATACAGGGCCATCTGAAGTTTGCCAATGAACATCTGAATGATTCAGAGGAGAACTGGGTGAAAGTGTTGTGGTCAGATGAGACCAAAATGGAGCTCTTTGGCATCAACTCAACTCGCCGTGTTTGGAGGAGGAGGAATGCTGCCTATGACCCCAAGAACACCATCCCCACCGTCAAACATGGAGGTGGAAACATTATGCTTTGGGGGTGTTTTTCTGCTAAGGGGACAGGACAACTTCACCGCATCAAAGGGACGATGGACGGGGCCATGTACCGTCAAATCTTGGGTGAGAACCTCCTTCCCTCAGCTAGGGCATTGAAAATGGGTCGTGGATGGGTATTCCAGCATGACAATGACCCAAAACACACGGCCAAGGCAACAAAGGAGTGGCTCAAGAAGAAGCACATTAAGGTCCTGGAGTGGCCTAGCCAGTCTCCAGACCTTAATCCCATAGAAATCTGTGGAGGGAGCTGAAGGTTCGAGTTGCCAAATGTCAGCCTCGAAACCTTAATGACTTGGAGAAGATCTGCAAAGAGGAGTGGAACAAAATCCCTCCTGAGATGTGTGCAAACCTGGTGGCCAACTACAAGAAATGTCTGACCTCTGTGATTGCCAACAAGGGTTTTGCCACCAAGTACTAAGTAATGTTTTGCAGAGGGGTCAAATACTTATTTCCCTCATTAAAATGCAAATCAATTGATAACATTTTTGACATGCGTTTTTCTGGATTTTGTTGTTGTTATTCTGTCTCTCACTGTTCAAATAAACCTACCATTAAAATTATAGACTGATAATTTCTTTGTCAGTGGGCAAACGTACAAAATCAGCAGGGGATCAAATACTTTTTCCCTCACTGTACCTCTGCTGCAGAGGATAGGCTCATTAGAGTTACCAGCCTCAGAAATTGCAGCCCAAATAAATGCTTCACAGAGTTCAAGTCACAGACACATCTCAACATCAACTGTTCCGAGGGGACTGTGTGAATCAGGCCTTCATGGTTGAATTGCTACAAAGAAACCACTACTAAAGGACACCAATAAGAAGAAGAGACCTGCCTGGGCCAAGAAACACAAGCAATGGACATTAGACCGGTGGAGATTTGTCCTTTGGTCTGGAGTCCAAATTGGAGATTTTTGGTTCCAACCGCCGTGTCTTTGTGAGACGCGGTGTGGGTGAACAGATGATCTCTGCATGTGTAGTTCCCACCGTAAAGCATGGAGGAGGAGGTGTTATGGTGTGGGGGTGCTTTGCTGGTGACACCATCTGTGATTTATTTAGAATTCAAGGCACACATAACCAGCATGGCTACCACAGCATTCTGCAGCGATACGCCATCCCATCTGGTTTGGGCTTAGTGGGACTATCATTTGTTTTTCAACAGGACAATGACCCAACATACCTCCAGGCTGTGTAAGGGCTATTTTAACAAGAAAGAGAGTGATTGAGTGCTGCATCAGATGACCTCAACCCAACTGAGGTGGTTTGGGATGAGTCGGACAGCAGAGTGAAGGAAAAGCAGCCAACAAGTGCTCAGCATATGTGGGAACACCTTCAAGACTGTTGGAAATGCATTCCAGGTGAAGCTGGTTGAGAGAATGCCAAGATTGTGCAAAGCTGTCATCAAGGCAAAGGGTGGCAATTTGAAGAATCTCAAATAGAAAATATATTTTGTTTAACACTTTTTGGGTTACTACATGATTCCATGTGTTATTTCATAGTTTTGATGTCTTCACTATTATTCTACAATGTAGAAAATAGTAAAAAATAAAGAAAAACCCTTGAATGAGTAGGTGTGTTCAAACTTTTGACTGGTACTGTACATATACATACATAAATGTGTCTTCCCAGTGCATTCGGAAAGTATTCGGACCCCTTGACTTTTTCCACTTTGTTACGTTACAGCCTTATTCTAAAATTTATTAAATATTTATCCCCCTCATCAATCTACACACAATACCCCATAATTACCAACCAAAACAGGTTGCTAGAACTTTTTTCAAATGTATAGAAAATAAAAAACAGAAATATTCCATTTACATAAGTATTCAGACCCTTTACTCAGTACTTTGTTGAAGCACCTTTGGCAGCAATTACAGCCTCGAGTCTTCTTGGGTATGATGCTACAAGCTTGGCACACCTGTATTTGGGGAGTTTCTCCTATTCCTCTTTGCAGATCCTCTCAAGCGCTGTCAGGTTGGATGGTGAGAGCATTGCTGCACAGCTATTTTCAGGTCTCTCCAGAGATGTTCGAACAGGTTCAAGTCCAGGCTCTGGCTGGGCCACTCAAGGATATTCAGAGACTTGTCCCGAAGCCACTCCTGCGTTGTCTTGGCTGTGTGCTTAGGGTCGTTGTCCAGTTGGAAGGTGAACCTTCGCCCCAGTCTGAGGTCATGAGCGCTCTGGAGCAGGTTTTCATCAAGGATCTATGTACTTTACTCTGTTCATCTTTCCCTCGATTCTGACTAGTCTCCCAGTCCCTGCCGCTGAAAAACATCCCCACAGCATGATGCTGCTACCACCATGCTTCACCGTAGGGATGGTGCCAGGTTTCCTGTAGCTCAGTTGGGAGAGCATTGCGCTTGCAATGCCAGGGTTGTGGGTCCGTTTCCCACGGGGGGCCAGTATGAAAATGTATGCACTCACTAACTGTAAGTCGCTCTGGATAAGAGCGTCTGCTAAATGACTAAAATGTAAAATGTTTCCTCCAGACGTGACACTTGGCATTCAGGCCAAAGAGTTTAATCATGTTTTCATCAGACCAGAGAATCTTGTTTCTCATGGTCTGAGAGTCCTTTAGGTGCCTTTTGGCAAACTCCAAGAGGGCTGTCATGTGCCTTTTACTGAGGAGTGGCTTCCGTCTGGCCACTCTACCATAAAGGCCTGATTGGTGGAGTGCTGCAGAGACGGTTGTCCTTCTGGGAAGTTCTCCCATCTTCATAGAGGAACTCTAGAGCTCTGTCAGAGTGACCATCGGGTTCTTGGTACCAAGGCCCTTCTTCCCCTATTGCTCAGTTTGGCCGGGCGGCCAGCTCTAGTCTTGGTGGTTCCAAACTTCTTCCATTTAAGAATGATTGAAGCCACTGTGTTCTTGGGGACCTTCAATGCTGCAGAAATGTTTTGGTACCCGTCCCCAGATCTGTGCCTCGACACAATCCTGTCTCGGAGATCTACGGACAATTCCTTCGATCTCATGGCTTGGTTTTTGCTCTGACGTGCACTGTCAACTGTGGGACCTTATAGACAGGTGTGTGCCATTCCAAATCATGTCCAATCAATTGAATTTACCACAGGTGGACTCCAATGAAGTTGTAGAAACATCTCAAGGATGATCAATGGAAACAGGATGCACCTGAGCTCAATTTCGAGTCTCCTAGCAGAGCCCGGACTGAAAATAGCTGTGCAGCAACACTCCCCATCCAACCTGACAGAGCTTGAGAGGATCTGCAGAGAAGAATGGGAGAAACTCCCCAAATACAGGTGTGCCAAGCTTGTAGCATCATACCCAAGAAGACTCGAGGCTGTAATCGCTGCTTCAACAAAGTGCTGAGTAAAGGGTCTGAATACTTATGTAAATGTCATATCTGTTTTTTTTTTTTTTATACATTTGCTAAAACTTATAAAAACCTGTTTTTGCTTTTTCATTATGGGGTATTGTGTGTAGATTGATGAAGAAATAAACCCTTTAATCCATTTTAGAATAAGGCTGTAACACAACACAATGTGGAAAAAGTGAAGGGGTCCGAATGCACTGTGTTTACACACACACAATGAATGACAATGAATGACTATAAACAATGAATGACTACAATTAAAATGTTAAATGCCTGCAACTTAAGACACGTTTTGAATTGTTGGGACTGTCCTTTAAATATTTTCACTGACTAATTATTGCCTGTTCTACTGAGGTATGTGTACATTAGTGCACTACGGGAAGCATAGGCAGCCTTACCGTTGTTATACGACTGAAGGAACATCTGAATGAGACTGAAGCTGCCTCCTGTGCAGTCCAGCAACACATTGCCAATGCTCCACCCCTCTGTGCTTTGTCTTTGGTTGTTCATGTAGGCCTGAGGACACACACAGACAGTGTGTGATCATGAAAATCAATAGCATCATACATTTCCAAGTGAGGTGCAACAACATCTACTGTAACAAATGCTAATTATATAAGCTAAAACCATCCAATATACAGTAAAATATTGTGAAATCCATACCTGTGGGATGTATTTGACGAGGGTGACACCTAGCTTGATGTAAGAGAAATAGTAGAGATATTCCAGCCAGGTGATCTTATTGGCCACAGCAACAAAGAGGGTGACCAGGGCAAACGTCCAACCAATCACCAGAAGGCCAATAGCAATCTTGGACACCTTCTGCCCTCCTCTCTGCAACACAGACACACAGGAACACTCTAAATCACTTTCAACATTATTTTAACTGTCAATGTTTAATCGAGGCCTTGACAAAAATGCTTTCCTTCCCCCCCAAAAAAAACTGCTCAAAGGATCAAATGAATATCAGTTTTTGCCAACAATCAAAACATAAGCTAATCAATATTTGGCCAGCCAACATCTGTCTCCAGTCTATAACCAAGGGGGACATCTAGGAAGTCACTAAAGACTGGTCTTTTGTTACTCACTTCATAGATGGCACACTGAGAGACATACACAAGAGTCAGCACAACTGCATGGAGACTGAAGAACACATCGTTGGTATCCACTGGGTTTACACCATTTGGATTTATCTTCAAAAACTCTTCCTGTAAATAAAGAAACACACTGTTATATAACCATATGGAGTAAAAACCGAGTCAATAAGACCATAGAAGATTATCCAGCGCAAATCCCCATTGGTATCAAGTCAGGATTCGTCACAATTTGTTATACTGTTTGTGAGGGCATGCAAACGGTTACCTTCACGTATGGAACCCAGAAGAGGCCTACATTGAAGACACTGTAGGCAATGAAGCCTGTCAAGTTGAGTGCCAGAAAATCAAAGTTCAGCCCCACCACACTGTCAAACAGACAAAGTTAGTCAGAAACCATATCCAAAGGTCCTTTAGCTCTAAATCCTGTGATGCAGAGGATTTTGAAAAAAGTGTCAAAGGCACTACCTTTTTCTTCTCCAGTTCTCATATACTTGAGGGTAGAATGAGATAGACCATGCTAGGAAGTAAATCCAACCAATTACTTGGTTAATTATATCAATGATGTTGCTTCTAATGACCAAGAAACGGATTCTGGTCTTATGGCTGGAAAACATAAATGAGACTTTTAGTACTTTATGTTGGTTTAAAAATCAGTCTGAAAGTGAGAAACTCTCATGGAGTTGAAATTCACTAAGAGACAGAAACCCTTTACAGCTCACCTTGCAATGTCAGTGTTGTTGCTGTATAAATAGGCTGTCACCTGACCCACATGTTCAGCATGAACCTCAAAAGTGCTTGATGTGGTGTTTGCAGGCAACTCTACCTGGAGATCAGATTTACATAACATAAAACGTTGGAAATACTGCACATAAATAATAATAAAATATATAAAAAGTTACTGTAAACAATTGTTACATTTGGACATAATATGCATTTATGGCTACAACATAAGCGCTAGTATTGATTTTACACACTGTGACCACTGTAGTTAATTGAAATATGACAGATGCAGATATCAAAGTGCATTAATATTCAATTACATGGTTCTTGGTTCTTGCTTTTCAGTGAGTTTGAATGAAACAAAACGCATACCTGCTGAGGCAGTTGAAGTATTGAGGTAACATTTGCAGAGGAGTCAGTGAAGTTAAAAAGAATGAGTGCTGAGACATTCAGAGGAGCGCTGCAAAAAGAAAGAAATGCCAAACACTGCATCAAATTATCACAACAAATAGATATAATACTGATACAAACTGGTAGTAGATGCCTAGCTATAAGAACAGTTACCTAGTCGTTATGGTGATATTGGCTGAACCTTTCTCCTCCAGATTTACAGTGGCTGGAGCAGATAGGGATACACTCCCATCTGTTGAAGGAATATGACATTTCAGTATTCAAATAGGGATGTTTAAATGGCCAGATATTAAATCAGAGCTTATGTTGGTTGGACAAGGGCAAACTCACCACATGTAATGACTGTACAGAGAGTTATGACCAAGAATGACAGAAAGTTCTTATCTGCCATCTCGAGGGATAGCTGAACTCTGAAAGTGCAAAAGAGGAGGATATGACGTGTATGAGGAACATTGCTGACCAAACAATCTGCATTAGTCAACATATGCCTCCATACAAATCCATAATGACAACAGCAATGTGCCATATATATCACGGTAAAAGAGTTTCGTCTGAACAACAATAGTTAGCTAGTTCAACACAGTATCTAATCCTGAAATCAACTAATTATACACTACCGCAGCTGAGTAGTCCTTTGTTTTCCTCTGCTTCTGTGAGCTGGTACTAATGTTAGGTCATATGACTTCGCTCGTGTAGGCTATGACGCGCTATCTAGGGTGCGTTCAAGACTTTCAATGTTGTGGGATGTTTAACACGGCGCAGTTAAAACAATCCTTAAGAGGGGGTTCTACTAAGCTAACATATGGAATTGTTTTAAGATAGCCATACCAAGTATAATTTAGCTATTAGATTTGGAATTTTAGGACCCCGAAATAATTTGATGAAACATTTAATTTTACCTTACTGCTATTTGTCCATAGAAACGCATTGAATAACAGATTCATACATGTAAAAACAGATAGCCAAAAAGTAAAACAAAAATAGATATCAGAAAGATTAGATTTTTACCCATTTGTAACCACTTTTGGGGGGGGGGCACTAAACTACTTCCATATATACTTCCTTTGATTTGTTAAACTGGTACCGTCCAAATAAAATATTGAAATATTGATGATCAGTGGCGACCTATCATTCAGAGCCCCACATTTTTAGCAAAAAAAAAGAAACACACAAAAAAATAAAACGTGTCAACTCAATAATTGAGTTAATAAAGCCACTTTTTTGATTTCTTGAGAAAGGCAGCTCCAAAATGCAGGTGTTTCAGCCTAGCTCAGTGCTTTCTGTGGAGGTTGAGCATCCAACAGAAAAGACAGAGCGTAAGTGTTAGTAATGTTCTCTAGTTGCGCCGTGATTAGCTCAGTGTTCTGTCACTCATGGGGACACTAGTCACCACCAAATCTAAGGGCAGAGCTCGGAAATTCAAGCCCATTGGGTGCTGCCATAGAGTTACATTAGAAGTGCCCATCCAAGAAGGCTCAAGGTCATTGGCCACAGATAAAATGATGTAAAATCGCGTTATATCTACAGTAGCTTTGATTGGACTGATCATGTCAACGTCATACTTTCAAAATCTTAGCTATCAGTCATCATCACGAATCAAGTCAACAATCTACTGGCAAATCCTTTTTAATCATCCTTGTCATATGAAGAGAAATAATGAAGATAAATTATAGATAAAACGTATCGGTGCTCATCGGCCATTGGACATAAACATTACACAACAAGTTTGAAATCGCAAATTCAACAATTAATGGTTTGGAAGGAATCAGTGGCTAACTGCAAGCATTGCAAAGCAATCACTAGCCTGCTATTCAGTGGAGTGGCTGTGTGGTCCCAAGTCTGGATTTAAGGGTCTCTTTTCCAAGCTTAAAATGATACACATTGAACATTGGCCATGCTGTCAATGAAGCATGATTTGTGCGCGCTCAAAACAACTGTTAACTCACTGCAAAATCTGACTTCAGTGAGTTCAAGACAACTGGGAACTCTGGAAAAACGAGCTCAGTCAAGGGAAAATACGTTTTGAACGGTCATCCAACTCGGAATTGTAAATCTGGAACTCGGGCCTCTTTCTAGAGCTACGACCTGAAGATCACTGACGTCATCATGATTCAACCTTGTTTTTTTCTGAGTTCCCTGTTGTCTTACATGCACCATAAATCCAGAGAATGCCAGACTTTGATGACAAAGTTTGATGACAAAATTTGCCCACGAAGGACCGCCGCGCCACCTTCCTGTTCAAGTGAGCACAGCACAACAAGGTGAGTCCAAAAATGTATTGTATGCTGCTGCAAAAATGATGTAATATGCCAGGGAGATATGTATACCGTAGCTAAGAAAGTAATTCTAAGTATGTTGTGTAGTAAACTGTTAGTAGCCCATGTACCTCACCCTAATAATTTGGTATATTTTCCCCTCTTAACTCTTAAATGTATTGTCCCCATATTTGGGGATCCTATTCGATTTTTTAAATTCAATTCAGTCGGGTATGAGAACGGTAGCCCCTATCTGCAAAAGCAGGGTGTCTGCGGAAAGCTGAGTATCTTGGCTATTGATCTGTGCCTTAAAATCTTTGGTGTGACTTACTACCATATATGGGCATATGAATGTATAAGGGCAGGCCGAGCCGATGACCTCATTTCAAGATGGCTGCTACCTACATTTCAGTTAGGGTTGTGAAGCATAAACGAAATAAACACAGAATACGTCGATACACACCGAAAGCCGGGACTCCACAGATCATGAGGATGTCTTCTTTGTCTGCCTGTGACCTACCGTTATTGATCACCAGCCCCGAGAGTCAAAATGTTTATTTTACTCAACGTTTTCACCAAACAGCAAACATCTTACAAGATAAGCTTCGATTTGGTCTGTGTTTGAGATATAGCTACATGGGGGATATGAAATTAATTCTTAGGTTGGTAGGATAAATCTCGCCTATTGGCAATGTTATCTGATGAGGTATGACTTAATGGCAACATCGAATGTCCACCGAGTGACTATATCTTTGCGCATGAAAAATATGCCTAGGCTAAACGTTCAGGCATTTTGGAGAGGTTGAAAAAACACTTGGATATCCCATGTATGTCCCCCAAGACCCCCACAATGTTTGAGAGAGGTTGCTGTTGTGGAAATTTAGTTTTTTTAGTGAACAATAACTTTTAGGCACATCCAGTGTGCATTTACCACAATCGGACACTTTGGAGAGGTTGAAAGGACACTTGAATGTACCCCATAACACCACCACAATGTTTGAGTGAGGTTGCAATGGTAGAAATTGTGTTTTTAACTGAACAAATAGCATATAGGGATTGCAAATATGTAATAGCACTGGAATTATCAAATTTACAGACATATGCCACTTTGGAGAGGTTTAGGGACACTTGGAAACATCCTGTGACCACACCTGACACCACTTAATAAAACATCTGCCCATTTCTAGTTGTTAGGTCTATCAATCCCTTTTTTTCCTGATATTGTTCACATGTTGTGGAAGCCATCTGATGTGTTTCCAGCTCTGGGAATCAATAATTCACTTATAGCTTATCAAAGAAAGCTGACTTTCAAAATAAAAATAAACAGTTATTTTTTGTGTGCTTGATCTTGTGTATTTTGAACTATGTAATGCCTATCTATCTTCTGATCATTTCCTCATAATCTCCCAGATGTATTCTTTCCAAATATACCAAGTTGTGGCATGTCAGAGTCATGTAATTACACATGAATAGCAGTTACTTTTGGGTATGTCTATTTAGGCGGAAATCTAAATTTTGCCTACTGTTCTGACTTGGTGGTGCACATGTAGCCTATAACTTGTTTTAGAGAAATGTAATCATTGAATATTGTAAGAGCTTTCATTGTCTGCGTATATGCCCCCTTTATTTATCCTACGGTTCTGAGAACACCGTATGAACGGTCCATGTTCTGAATTCTGTTGCTGTACATTTCAAAAGTGATGAACAAATAGTTATATTGACTACGTCCGTCCTAGCTCGCTCATTAATGTCTTAATCGAAATTACAGATTGCCTCTTATCCACTTGTCATCCCCTTATGCCATAGTTTGTACATCTCAGTTGTCAGTAGAAACCACATCTTTTTAAGCAAGTCAGCCATATCAGCTGACTTGACAGTAAATGAGGCTGAATTAACTGTTTCGCTGCCAGACAAGGTTCCGCTGATAGCCAGGTGTAGCAGTAGTAAGGTGTTGGGACAGCTTTATGTAGGCCTTAAAAGTTTGTGGGCACCTTTGTCACCGTAATGTATTGTTTAGTGTGGTGTTGTGTAGTGGCTTTGCTGGCATGCATCCCACAATTTTTTGTTTTGTTTGCCCCACCAAGATTTACATTCTAAAATCGCCACTGTTGATAATTAATTTGACCGAGACGCACGCCAAACGAAAGATCTCAGATAAACCATCCGAGCGAGCGAAACAGCGCACCACTGTCTCCATATGTGTAGACCATGTATCTGATACTGTCTGGACAAAAGGAGTATCGCATGTCATACTTTTTCTGGCCACACAGAAACGCTGTTTCGCTCGCTAGTTAGAGCAGAGCGGAAGATGCGAAGCAAGAGGGCTCACTCTCACCAAAATCTGTCCTGAATAAGCCCGATGCATTTATATGGGCATAACGCAGACCTAAGCTTGTCGCCTGAATTCCCGCCTTTGGGACAACGACTCGCATTGTTAGGGCGTAGACATGAGCATCTCGTCATTATATAGGCCTGCAGATCTCTGGTTTCAGCCACTTGCAAATTAGAAAGGAAATTTGGCGGGTGCACAGTGCACTGTTTGGATGCTGGTTCCCCTAAAGTAAATTGATGTTTTGCCAAAATTATAAGATTACTCCTGTCTAAATAAAATAATTCAAAATACTTTACCAGAGAGCTTGACTTAGCTATGGATTGTTTCATAGGCCTATGCCTATTTGGGAAGCCAGAAATGTGGGCAGCGCGCGTGTCAATAGGCCTAGCAGATTGAGTTTCTGCAGTCAGTGAAAAGAATCTAAAACGTGTGAAGATAATGTGTCTAGAGGATAATTTAAAATGTTGAGAAAAGAAGAAGGCTTGTTGTGTGTGGCAAAGATATGGGTGTCTCTCTCCAGAATGCATGCACTCAGCTCTCCAGAATGTGCGTCGCTGTCTCTCGCCAATTCTTGCACATTCATTGTTTCATTGTGTGAATTGTTTGCCCTTTTGATTGTTTACTTGATAAATTCCCCATTACATATGTAACCAGTAGGCCTAGTAAATGTACCGTTAATCCCTGTCATTTGGTTACATTAATTTCTGTTAATGAATGTATTAGTCATTTACGGTTGTCATTCTCGGAGTGGAAACGTTGTTTGCAGAGTTCATTTCCTATTACACTTGTGAGAAACAAGTTTTGGTTTATTTCATAACCATCA